AATTATCAACAACAGAACTGAACAGATTATATGGGAACCAAGGCCAAAATATATCATACACAAAACAAACTGGTCACAACTAAAAACCTACCTTCAAAACAATCTGCCAAGCGTTTGTGATGACAATCATGAAACAGCAAGAAATAAAATTGAAACCGCTGTTGAAGTGATTAACAGGGCATGTGAGATCTTTGTTCCAAAGAAAACTACAAACAGACGCAGTGTTCCATAGTGGTCAGCTAAACTCAGTGAACTCAGACACAAAACTAGAAAATTGAGAAGAATATACCAGAGATGTCAAGATATTAATGGTAGAAGACAATACAGAGAAGAATACCTGGCATGTCAAAAAATATATAAAAAAACCATAAGGGAAGAAAAAACACGTAGCTGGCAGGAGTTCTGCTCAAGAGCTTCGATTAACCCCTGGGGGTACATAACCAAGATGTGTTGTGGAAAACTGCGCAAGACAAAAATCCTTACTGACACCCAGGATAATACACAAGCACCCTCAATGATAGAAGCAATGATGTCCCAGTTAAACAGCTATTGTCCAGATGATGAACCATCCCTAGATACTGACTGGCAAATACAGATACGTTCTGATTTTAACCAACTTAACAACACTGAAAACACACCAACATTTACTGATGAAGAAATCAACTGGGCATTCACTTCTTTAGGAAGGCGCAAGGCGCCAGGCTTAGATAACATAACAGCCGAACTAGCATTAGAACTATGGAAATTAATCCCTGCCTACTTTAAAAATTTATATAACAACTGCCTTTATTTTTCTACCTTTCCAAAAGCCTGGAAAATAGCAAGAGTAATACCTGTGCCTAAACCAGGATCGACATTAGACAGTAGACCTATATCACTACTACCAATATTAGGGAAAGTCCTCGAAAAACTCTTAGCAGGAAGATTAACTTGGCACATCGAACATAATAGACTCCTAAATATTGCTCAACACGGGTTCAGGCAACAAAAGTCTGCGGAAGATGCCATCGATAAAACGGTTTTCTACATTCAGGAACTCCTGGAGAATAACAAATACGTCCTAGGGGTCAGCCTTGACATCTCAAAGGCATTTGACAGTGCCTGGTGGCCCCTAGTGACACACCAACTAAGAAAATTCAATTGCCCTAAAAACATACTAAGCCTCATTATCGACTATTTCCGTGATCGTAAAGCCTTACTTCAATATGGCATACATACTGTTGAAAAGAAAATAACAAGGGGCTGTCCGCAGGGATCGGTTTGCGGTCCCCTGCTATGGAATGTTATGTTTGACAGCTTTCTTAGCAATGATTTTGGACAAACATACTGTATAGCATATGCCGATGATGTATTTATGCTAGTAGGAGGAAGATCTAGGGCTGAATTAGAGGCAAAAGGAAATGGTTTACTGCAAGAGATATATAATTGGGGTGACAGGCACAAATTAAAATTCAACACCAACAAAACAAAAGCAATTGTTTTCAACAAACCGAGAAAAGCCAATCTTTACGCAAGACCTCCGCATCTGAAGATGAACGGGACAACAATTAAGGTTGAGAAATCGTTAAGATACTTAGGAGTCATATTAGATTTTAGGCTGGCATGGGACAGTCATATCACTCACATTACTGAACGTACTGGCCTGATTTGCCAGATCTTCTCCCAAGTCGCCAAACAGAAATGGGGTCTAACCTCGAAATCATTGTCAATAATTTATGATGGCATATATATACCAACAATAACATATGCTTGTGGTACCTGGGGATGGGCCATTTCCAAGGTCCACCCCAGGAGAAAAATGATCTCGTCCCAAAGACGCATTCTACTATTGATTTCAAAAGCATATAGAACTACAAGCAATGTGTGCTTGCAAGTAATAACTAGAAAACCGCCGATTGACCTTATAATTGACGAAAAGAAAAAATTATTTAGACTTAAAAGAGGAGAAAATATCAAAATTGGAACCAGAGACATAAATTACCATGATGTCGAATGGCCATCATCATTTAGCTGCACTATCTCATCGGAGAATTCCATACTAAGCCAAGATAATACCATAACAGAAGATACCATACTTATATATACAGATGGTTCCAATCATAATAACAAAGTGGGATGCAGCTACGTTATATATAAAAACGGTAATGAAACAAACTACTGTAAATTTCGTTTGCTTAACGAATGTACGATCTTTCAAGCCGAAATGTGGGCTATAAAAATGGCCATTGAATATACTAACAGCAACTTCAATAATAACAAGATAAACATCTATACGGATTCGTTCTCATCGGTTCAAACCATTAAAAACAGAAATCTACACCCAATTGCCGAAAAAATAAGAGAGCTGATATACTTATCGACAAACAAATACAATATTGAATGGGTAAGAGCCCATCAGGGCGAAATCGGCAATGAGAGAGCTGACTTCCTGGCGAAGGAAGCTGCAGCGGAAGACACCCTACCAATAGCATACAATAAAATTAGTAAAAGAATAATTTGCAATATTTTAAGAATAGAAACCATCCATCAATGGCAGGAAAGGTGGAACCAACACAGCGAACATATTACTTATAAATTCATCACAAACTTGAAAGAATTTAATAATAATAAGTGGTATAGCCCTACCCATTACATTTCGCAGTTTCTTACAAACCATGGCAAGTTCGCCACTTATCTAGAAAGATTCAATCATTGCAACTCAAAGATCTGCCCTACTTGCAAAATGGAAGAGGATGGATCGTTACATTATCTTTTCCGTTGCCCAACTTTTGAAAGGGAGCGACTCGAACTTCGAATGGCGACACAGGATCAAGGAATAGCTTGGCCTTGCAAGCCGTCCGAGATTTGGTCCTCTAAGAACACCTATATGGCCTTTGAAAGACTCTGCAAACAAGTCAACTATATAAATAACAGTCAGAACTTCAACTAGTGCATTTATTCTCAACATCTTCTGTTGCCTTTCATTGATTATTTCTACATTATTGTAATTTTCACATTCATCTCTTGACACCATACAATACTATGGTTCTATCCCTGATAAGAAATTAGGCTTTCTTGTAAACTTTATTCTCATGTTAATTTTTATTTTTACTGTCCACTTTATCATTTGTTAAATATCTTTTAATGTTTTAAACAATATTTTGATATTACAAGTAAATATTAATTCTGTATTATACTTCCTGATAATGCCATTAGCGGAATCAGGTTATGTACTAAGTTTTGTACCTAAATAAATAAAAAAATAAAAAATAAAATAACTCAAGATTTCCTTTATCGAGTGATATCCTTCCACGACAAAGCAAATACGCGGACTGAGACTGATGAACAGAAGTGAATAAAACATGGCGCTGCAAACTAATGTAACGTCGTATGGTGAGTTTTTGTTAGTATCGTGGAGCAAAAATATGTTCGAATTTCATGTCGTATCCTGAAAATTTTGTATGCTGGGGCATTCGTATCCTGAGGTACCACTGTATATATGAAGCATACAGTATAGTACTAGTATACTTTGCTTTTTTGGTTAATTTTTTTATTTTTTGATCAATAAAGAGAGAAAATTTTCTCTACTTTTCATTGTCAACAAAAACAGTCATTGTCAATAAAAGCACAGATCAGTCACTAAAAACAATTATGCAAAAAATAGACCTTCAACATTTAAAAAAATGCAGTTAAAATTTGAAATTATAAGCAATCCCTTTAAATAATCAAATCACATTTCTGTTTTGATAATCTTCTGTAATTGACTTATGAAAAGTTCACAGTGACAGTCTCATATGTGTTACTCTGCTTTCTTACATATCAATCTCATACAGGATTCTTCAAAGACTTTGATTGAAAATCTTCCTGTCAACTGGAACATCTCTGTTCTAGACACTTTCTTTGCTATGGGTTTGATTTTATATTTAATTTTTAAATTGTTAATATATTACATATAGCATTTATGCTTTATTGTGAATTGTTTTACAGCAACCTGTTGTTATTTTATAAGCTGTTGTAACATTATTGTTATACTTTGTAATGGTAAGTTCTAATTATACTTTGTAGTACATATACTCAGCATGTAAAACATCTGTAATACTTTTCTTGTAAAAAGACTTGCTAACTTCTGTGCGTCAACCAATTGTTGTTAGTACATAGTATTATCCATGTTATTACTATCTATGTTTGTAAATCAACAAATGTACTTAATTATCAAGAATTGTCATGTAAAATCAAAACATATAACTGCAATTTTATAACAATACTGTACTGTTATTTTATGTCTGTAATACTAACTAACAAATATATTGTATTATAATACCTGATTATGCATTTGTGACATCAGGTCACGTAACCTTGTTAATTAATAAATTTAAATGAATGAATGAATGAATCTTCTGTAATTATCTTGACTCAAGCAGAGAAATTGGCATATTTCTTGTTTCTTAGATTGCCTTGATTTCCAGCGATCAATATTCAGAAACAGTGATCCGCAAGTTTCTTGAAATTCCTGTTGCCATCCTTCCACATCATTGTTGGTGCGTTGTTGGCCATCCAAAGTGCACTAGTACACATTCCAAAGTTGAATTGGGAAAGTTGGAATTTGACGTCTGCAGAGTAATCTTTGTTCAATATAAGTATCTTCGAAGTAATTTGCAATAAGCGTTGCCTCTTCAAAAAATTCTTTGCTTTCAACTAACTCGTCAAATGCATTGCTGACATTGCCTTCTGGAATGAATGTCAAGGCCAGAATTATCCTAATCCACTGCTCAAACTCATGATCAGTTTTATGGACACAAACCAGGTTGCAGATGCTTCAATTCCTAAAGAAGTTTGACATAAGCAGTTCGCATCTTATTTGGCAGAAGAGCATACATAACTGGAATAACAGCACTGTATTTGACCATGTGTATTGTATAAACTTGTTCAAAAAGCACTGGTGCAATGCTAAATGTTCCATCAGCAAACCATTCTCTACTTTGAGCCAGCATTATGTAGATTGCTGCTAGTCAAAAAATTACCATCCTTCCTGGAAGCAATTCTTGTTCTGAATCATACAGCAGAAATTGTTTGGCTTCACCATCAATCATAATTTGTTGGTAGCTTTCAGGAATCTCCATTTTTTGACATTTCTTAGAAGTGCTGGTGCTCCTTGTTCTTGCCTTGCTCAACAAATGAGTTTCTTCATGGAATCCTTTTTCAGTTAAAGTGGAGCAACATCTACATGCACCTTTGCAACAACATTTCCAATAATTTATTGTGGCCTTTCATGAGTCGTGGTGGAACGTTCTTTTACCTCATTGATCAACTAAACCAACTGAATAGCTTTAGGCTTAGCAGCTTATGCAGCATGATTGTTCTGTAACAACCTTAATGACTTTGCCATCCATCCAAACTTCACCTTTGCAGCTTGATCTCTTTTCACAGATCCAGATTGTATGCTCTTCATTTTTGGTTTTCTTAGGGTAAGAATAAATATGATTTTCATGCATGAGCTTTTGCTTATTTCTTTTTGACAATGCTTTCAGCCATTACTTAATCAAATCAAATCCCTGATCAGAAAGACACCAAATTTTTCACTAGAAATGAACTAGTCGTTCTTAAAAAATGATAAAATTGCCAGTGAACCAGTTGTGATTGAAACATAAAATCCAAAAAAGCAATTCTACACCTAACAGGTATACAAATACCATATTTCTGTAAGTTCTGACATCATCACAATGACGTCGGGTAGATGTCAGTTGTGGACAAAATGGTTAGAGACAAAAGAGCCGGGGACAAAATGTCTGCAAACCCTATGAACCAGTTTCTTGTAGTAGAAGATAGATCAAAGTAAAGACTGAGTAATAAGGACATCTTTAGTTAGGAAATCATTGATAAATTTATTGTACTTCTCTACTGTTCCTATTAGCACTATTGTAATAAAAATGCATATCAGTAAGCCCAACTCTGCTAAATTGTTCCTTAATAAAATGCTAGCAACACAGTTCATATCTGCATACTTAATAACAATTCTTAAAATTAACAAGAAAAAGATAACTAGGAACTTATGGTCACTAAAAGTTTGACTTCTCAGCAGAACACCAGAGCTGCAAAAGCAGCATACTTTTGGTTAATTTTGATTCTCTTATCTCATATACTAATAAACAGGGAATCAATTGTCTTAAGATCAAAACTGTTTACAATTACTTCCTCTATCACTCTTCTAAGTTTGTCTACATAATTTTTGAGCATCCTGTATAATAATATTTACTTCTTTATGTAAGTAAATTTTTTTTATATTTGTCATTATATTATAGATGTTAATTAATTATGAATATTAAAATCTAAATTAATAGCTAAGTTACAATAATTATAACTCCTGAAAATTATAGTTTCAAGCCCACCATATTTTTTTTCCTATTGTGTTGTTAAGAACACAGCAAATAAAATAGTTTAATTAAATATACTTCTGTTTTTTTCTGATTTATTACTAAATATAACCCATTAACAAGCTATTAAAACCAAAATATATTCTTAACTTTTGTAATTCCTTCATTTTAATACTAATATAAAATTATAGCCCCCCAAATTAATAATAAAATATTTATTAATTCAAACATTTTCTACATTTACACAATCATCATCCTAAACAAAATACAATTAAAACAAAGTCCATAGATGACTGATCACTCTTATGAATTTGTTTGTTGGATAGATTATATATTAGTTAAACAAATACATATCAATATTTGACAATATACAAAGTTTAGCATTCTTAGGAATTGTTCAAATAATCAATTAACAATAGTACTAACTAACCATTACAAAATTCATAAATCATTAAAACCTTTGTATATTATCATGATTATGTTAGGCCTATTGTTATGATTTATATTATTCATTACACAAAACAAAAAGTATCCTTCTTCCAGAAGTCAAACATTCTGTTTACTAAATACTTTCATCTTAAAAGTTCCAATGTTCAACAAGCTATATATAAAAAAAAAAAAAAAAAAAATACATACTCTGATAATTAATTATAATGTTGAAGACATTGGATTTTCAAAAGTATTTAATAATCAAAATATGTTTGACTTCTAGAAGGCTATTTCTTGTTTTATTTTAGCATTTTATATTTTATTCTTATTCAATATTACAATCCAAAAGAGAATATATATACAGTAGAACTGTGATTATGAGGTTTAACATTTTCTGAGGCAAACCTGTAAGTAAAAACACTGCTTTCTTATACTTTAATTCATAAAAGAAAGTTTAAAATGGTATTACAAAATTATTTGCATCTGTCACCTTTTATCATTTAACTTTACTGTAAGACAAACCAGTCATATTAAAATGTAACCATAATAATACACATTATTATTCTTAAAACTATTTTATCAATGCATATATTAGTTGTATAACAAACAATTTAAACATTGTTGTTTTTATATATTATTAAATTCACTAAAATGTAAAAAACAGGCTTAAGATGATATACTATGTAAATATTTTTTACAGTGGAACCTTGCTTAACAAGCATAATTCATTCCAGAATCTTACTCATAATGCAAAACACTCGTTAAGCAAAATAATTTTTTCCATATAAATTAATGTAAAATACAATAATGCGTTCCATGAAAAAAAAAAAAAAAATACTCAAATATTTTATGTATAACATTTATTCAAAGAAAATTATACAATATATATTGTTTAGGAGCATGAATCATCATCATCTTTTCTTATAGCATGGAACGAACCGACCTGGAATGCAAATTCAATATGCAGGAAAAAAAAATATATTGAAATTTAATTTGGAATTGGTCATTAAATTTAATACAAGATAGCAGCATAACAGCCTACCTCTAGTCAAATTAATCAATTTCTAATATTTATAGCCTTTACATAGCCCAAGAATTTGGCATATCATTTGGTGTATTTATTATATAACAGGCTATGGTTGTTGATGTTTATATGTATTATGTCTGAACACAAGTTTGGAAAAATGTGTGATCACAAGTGACACTTAAGATAATAACGTACAACTACACACCGGAGTTTACTAAATACTACGTACCTCCGAAACCTTTAACCAATGTGAATAAATTTAACTTTACTAACATTTTCAGACCCCTCCTGGGTCCTTCTTCAGGTAGAAACGAATGGTTAGTTTGATGATTTTTACCTGAAGAACGACCCTGGAGGGGTCTGAAAACGTTAGTAAAGTTAAATTAGTTCACATCGGTTAAAGGTTTCGGAGGTACGTAGTATTTAGACACTTAAGATGCTAGTAAAACAGGTGCTAAAGACAGACTGATGTACATGGGTAGGCTGAAAAGTAATGCACACATGCTTGTAGAACACGAACAAAAACAAATAGCAGGATCGGGCAAAAAGTATATTAAAGTACAATTCTTAAGCTTCAAAATCATATATTTATTTTTCAACATAGTCACCGTTAAGGCTAACACATTGCTCCCAACGTGTAACAAGTTTTTTCATTCCGTCACTGAAAAATTATTCCAACTTTTCTTGAATCCAGGACTTGACAGCTGCCTTCACCTTATTGTCCGAGGTGTAATGATCACCCTTGAGGTCTCTTGAGTAGAGGAAAAAAAAAATAAAAATCACAAGGCGCAAGATCGGGGGAATAAGGAGGGTATGGAATCGATTCAAACTTCAGGTTTTGCAGACCCTCTCCAGTTGCACGCGAGGTGTATGGACAAGTGTTCTCATGTTGCAAGATTATTGGTGCCAGGCTGCCTCTAACACGACAAACTCAATGTCGGAGGTGTTTTAGAGTCTGTATGTACTGAGAAGAATTAAACCTTACAATGAGGAGCAACAGTAATTGTCTGTGGCAGTGATCAGACGTCCACTGCGTGTTTCATCAACAGTTATAGGTTTTCCAGGCTCGCAACCATGAAATTTTATTATCCATCGATTTACAGTAGACCTATCAACAACATCATCATCATAAACAGCCTTTAAACGATGATGAATCTCAGTAGGAGTCACTTTTTCAGCAGTTAAAAGTTCAATAACAGCACGCAGTTTAACTTGTGTTGACATAGCACTAGAACACGTCTCCATATTTCCATTTTTTAAAATATACTGAATGAATGCAACAACTTCAAACTGCACATGTGCATAGAGGGGGAATGTTACTTCCATATGTCACCTGGCATGCTTCTGAAAATCATTTCGTCCACGCTCTACAAGCATGTGTGCATTACTTTTCAGCCTACCCTCGTAACATGCGCACAATCTGGGACTTCCCATCATCTTGTCACTCATTATGCAAAACGTTGCTCATTAAGTGAGTCATTTTTTTACAATTTGTCTTGCTCATTATGTGAATTATTTGTTATGAGAGGTGCTCATTAAGTGAGGTTCCACTGTACTTGTAATTTTTAATCAAAATTAGCCATCTATTTTATCCAAGTTTTCAGTTATCTGAGGTAGCATCAGCCCACATTACCTTGGATAATCAGGGTTCTACTGCATATATAATGCTACAATTTAAATTATGAATTTTTTTTATTTTGACTGTCGTTTTATGTATCAAATTTGAGATATTTATGGCTTTATATTTCATATTAAAAAAATGATATAATACATTACTTGTTGGAATTTGAAAGAGATTAATTTAGTATGATGAAAGGATGGAGTACTTCCTATTATTCTAAATTACTCACTACAAGAGATGTGAGAATATAAATTAATAAAGGTTCAAGTTTTTTTAAGTTTGTACATCTGTCATACTGAGCAATTTGGAATAATAGGAAGTGTTCTATCCCCTCTATTCATCAAATGTAATAATAGTTGTTGGTCAACTACTGGTCACCAATCTAATTTAATTATAAGTACTAAAGCAAATAATAAATAAATAAATAAAAAAAACATTAACTGAAATTGTTAATACAGTAGAACCTCGAAAACTCGTCCCTCGATAACTTAGCACTCCGGATAACTGGTCCACACCTTGGCAGGGCGAAAAAATCCTTAGTTAATTACAGTCGACCCCCGTATAAGATCATTGATTATTCCGTTTTATATGAATTCCATGTTGTACGAGTCACTTAGATTTTACAAATACGTGTACCGGGCTGTGAACGGCTCACGTATTTGTAAAATTTAAGTGACTTGTACAACATGGAATTCATATAAAACGGAATAATCAATGATCTTATACGGGGGTCGACTGTAATTTTCATTATAGACAGCTTTATAAAAGTATAAAAGCTCTCATAAAGTATTTTTCTGAGGTCTGTCTTATCAGGTAAATTACTGTACACAGTGTATTCATTAATTTTCATTTTCATGTAGTGGCTCTATGCCTTCATAAAGGACGTACTTTTCCTTTGTTTAAGGGTATTTGGGCAGTTTATTCTCTGTTATATTCTGTACAAGTAAATACTGTACAAGTACAGTACAGTATTTTCTGAGGAAATACTCGTACTTATTTTTTTTAACCCCATTCCCGATAACTCGGCATTTTCACAAACTCGGCCACCCTTCGGTCCACATTAGGTCGAGTTTTCGAGGTTCTACTGTATTTTTTTTTCAGAAATTCACAAATACATAATGAAGTATTACTTACGAATAAAATCAAGAACAAAATGATGGGTACTTACTTGTTTCTTATCTTGGCTAACAGATCGACCTTTTGTACCCTGTTGAATAGTAACCTGAATTGAATTTTTTGTATTTTCTTTGTCATTTTCTTCTTTTTTCCCTTCATCTTCAGGTTTTTTTTCTTCTTTATCATCATTTTTACCCTCTTCTGATTGTTTAGATGCTTCTTCTTCTTGTGATTCATTCTTCTCTACATTTTCTTCTTGTTGTTCTTTTTCATTCTCTTTCTCTTTATCTTTATCCTCTTCAACTTCTTGATCATCATCACCTTCTTGTTCTTCATCAACTTCATCTCCATCTTCATATTCCTAAAATTAATATAATAATATATTGAAAAAGTGCATCATCACCTTAAAAACAGAATGATTACAGTTGTTCAATAAACTATGCTTCCTTTAAATCCAAAATTAAATCATTAAATTGCTATTTATTAAAATTACTAATAATATTCTTTGTAAACTCCTAGGCAAAGTTTTGGCAATATTTGGCACTTAAAAAATATTCCAAACATTGATCAATCATAATATTAATATATTATGTTTACGTTCATTTGTAAGAATCTCAAAAACTTGCACAGAAAATTATTTATGCAGATTTTAACATATCAAATATTTAAATAACTGTTAATTTTGTAAACAAATAAATGATTTTATAAAATCAGAAATTAAAAAAAATTTAAGACAAATGCATTGTTTCAATATTTATGTTTTACTTCAAAGAATTTTTAAAAACTGACATTTTAACATTAGTATTCAAAATATATGCTATAACGTATTTTAAAACAATATTTATTAACAAACAGAATATTGAAATTAGATAAATTATATTATATATATTGATCCAGAAATATATATGCACTCATTTTTCAAATTTTAATTCTTAATAGCTTCTAAAACTTTTCGTATCTTCCACTTAAAACCCTGCCTATATACAAAAGTTCTAGCAATCTGAGAATAGTCTACTCATGTATCCATATCCATCACAGGCTAGACATACAGATTATGAATATTTCTTTATATTTTATTCAGAAGAAAAGGGAATCAACTTTTATAAGTTGATTCTTCCTATAAACAATGATTAGTTTTAAAATCATGTTTATTTTATTTAAAAAATAATTCTTTCACTTACATATTCTGAAAAATCATCTGTTGGCTCAGCTGGATTATATAATTCACATTCGACAGAATCAGTTCCTTTATCTTCTTCACCTTCTTCTCTGTTTCTTTGATTATCTGATTTGCTCCTCCTCCTAGGTGTTGAAGTATTCCTTCCCTGACGACCATAATTATTTCTCCCCATTTTATTATTTCTGCTTCGTTTTCTTATACGATTTCGCTGAACTACACTGACATCATAATTCTGACGCTTATTACGAGAGTTCCCCATAAGACTTCGATGCATTGGACGTTTTCTTTGATTTCTAAAATTATTCTGAAATAAAAAAATTAACAAATTTACAGATATATTTTATAAACAATAATTTTTAGCAATCTTTAAGAGAAAAAAGTGAACGTTTAGTTTGATTCTTCTTAAACTACAGTTTATAAATTTCATTGATTTAGGAATTTATCAGTTCCATGAATATTAGCCTATACCATTATAGTACAAACAACAGTAATAGGAAAATAAACAATTTAAATGCACAATTTCAGACTAACTATATTAATTAATTAAAAAAGCACATGTTTTATCTGTACTTATAATGCCCACTAATTTTATGCAGTTTTTTCAGTTAAAACAAACATTAACACAAAATTTATTCTTTATAACATGTTTAAATATAAAAAGCATATTTTTTCTTACCTGACGATTTCCTCTGTCCTTCATGTTGCGAGACATGTTTCCCATTCCATAATTCATATTCATTCCCATTGGACCCATTCCGCTTGCAAAACCACCACCATATCCTTGATTTCTTCCAAAATTATTCATCATATTTTGGGCCATGGCAAACTGATTATCCATTGAACCCATTCCCATAGGTCCACCACCGCCTCCACCAAATCCAAAACCAGATCCACCCATTCCACCACTCATTTGATTCATTCCAAAAGGGGGACCACCTTGCTGCCACGGACTTCCTGTGAATTGCTTCCTATAGGGCATTTTTGATATTTTTCTGTAAAAAAAAATTAAATTATTAGCCTAAAAAATTATTGACTGTTAAGAATCAAAATTGTGTATTTTAGTAATTTAAAACATCTAATTACCAAGTTCAGGGAACCAAAATTATTTTTTTATTAAGTAACATTTTAAGCCATTCTTGGCAACTTAACCTTGCAACAAATACAACATATATTTTAAGATCTAATATAATCAGTAACTGGACAGAACCAAACTATGAAAATAAATTGCTTAGCATTCAGTATATATTTTTCAATAAAACTTTTTTTTGGCTAACTTAACTATCATCAAGTCCCAAATACAAAATGTATTAATACCTGATATTCAATAACTTGATCGTTTAATTCGTATTTGAAGCTGACGATGGCAAAGTTAGCCAAAAATGTTTATTGGTTTGAAAAATACATATTGGACATAAATTAATTTAAAAATTAAATCTTTAATGTCTTTGTTCCAGTTGAAAAATTAGAACAAAAGTATGAATCAACTTTAAATTTAAAGTTTTACATCTCTTAACCAACTTATAGTGGGTTGTGATCAACTTTCTCCTGAGTCAAAACAATTTATGATTTACCATGTTTTCATTCTCTTACAAAGTTTATTACTCTATTCTTATAAAATTGTGTTAAAAAATAATTACACAGCTGAGTCTGCTTAAGAGAGCATTCTTAGGATTGCTGCATCATGCTCTCATCCTAAGTAACAAGAAAACCAAGTGGTCATTAATGATATTTGATGCTCTCCCCTTTTTCATGTTTTAGGAGCTCTATGCAGCATAAAACATACTTTGAAATGTTAAAATCCATTATTACATAATTTTAGTGTAATTTATATATTGGTTTCCATTCTTCTATCATTTATTTTATTGTTCTACCAAATAATCAGTAAATACAGTATATTTACAGTCACATTACTTTTACTTCTCAAAAATACAGTATTAGCTTGGCTGAACTAAAAAATATGAACAGCTTTGCTCCAAAATTTTTAAATGCTCTCTAATGATATGTATAGCATTAAAAATATAAATGAATAAATAAGTATAGTAGTACCACCTTACAGAAAAATCCTGTGACCTTCAAAATCATTTTTCTAATAACTTCTTGCCCTGTTCTCTCAAGATGATATACTGCACATGTGACCTGGGCTGTTCTTATATATTTTATGATATCTTTTTAATACGTAATTACTATGTCCATTTAATAGAAAACTGACCAATGAAAGGTTTCATCAAATCTCAATAAATATTATAGTGTAGAGAGCCCTGTTGCTAGGTTCCCTTACAGTTATGTACAGTGGGTGATCGGTTAACAAACAATCTATTCCAAGACTTTGCTATCCGAATTGTTCATTAACCGATTATCGATTTACATAGATTTTTATGGAAATTTGATTAATTTGTTCTGGAGACTCCAAAAAATAAAAAATATCCTTGATTTCTTCTTACTTGCAGTCAAGTCTGGGCTATAAGGAGGATGTTCAAAACTTCCCACTTAAACTGTTGAAGCAAGTTCTTCATCAACACAGCAGCATGCAGACTTGCATTATCCCGAAGAAGCACAATTTCTCTGGATAACAATCCCTGCAATTTGTTTTGAATGGTGCAACGTAGTCACTGAAGGGTCTGACAATAGGCCACTGCATTTATGGTCTTCCCTCTAGGCATGCAGTCAAAGAGTAGGATGCCCTTTTGATCCCAAAACACTGTAGCCATAACTTTTTCGTGCTCAGAATTTGTTTGGTTTTTTTTTATCTTGTTGGGGATCCGGAAAGATGCCATTCCATTGACTGGTACTTTGTTTCTGGAGTTTTATGTGAAATCCAGGTCTCATCACCAGTAACAATGTGGTTCAAAAAGTCTTTTGCCATGCTTGTTGTACCGAGTGAGAAAAGTCAGTGCAGCTCCCATCTGGTTTTGTTTGTGTTCATCTGTCAAGAGCTGAGGAACCCATCTGGCGCACACTTTTCTGAAGCCCAAATCACCACTAACAATGCCATGAAGAACTGTTCTTGAAATTTCAGGAAAGAATGAACTGAGTCCATCTATAGTGAAATGTCTATCCTGTTGAATTTTTTTCTCAATCCTTGATTTAAGTTCGTCAGTCACAACTGAAGGTCAGCCTGAGCATTCTTCGTCATGAATATTCGTTTGCCCGCCATTAAACATGATGAACCATTTTCGAACTGAATCTTCATTCATCACATTACCATAAACCTCAGTTATCTGTCTATAAATTTTGATAGGGCAGATGTATTTTGCATTCAAAAAGTGTATTACACTACGAACCTCACACTTATTTAATTTTGTCACACATTCAAAGTTACACTATAAACAGTAAACAATTGTTGCAGCTAGCTGTTAACATCAGACTGGCGCAAAAAAATGGGAATGTCCGTGATGCGGTGGTGGTGGGAGAACTGCGCGGCTCATCAGATCAAAACGTTCTTTTCTTTAAAAATGACCCTCGTACTTGCTTTACAAAGAATATAGATGTGTTTATGCTATTTTTACTGTGTACGTAAGTATATGTGCAATAATCAGCTTAATCTGTGGAATCTGATAGATTTTAAGGCAGGGGTGTCCAACTCGCAGCCCGCATGCGGCCCAAGGCAAGTTCCAATGCGGCCCAATAAACGTGTAACACAAATGTTTTAATTTTTTATTATTTATTTATTTCAATGGCATAAACTCAAAAAAGTTTCACAAAGCCATAAACCTTTATTCATATTTTATTTTTGAGTGGAAAGAAAATATTTTCAAATACTGTACTTGGAGATGTGTGAATGCGGAAGGATTACTAAATAAAGCTGGAGTTGTGACTCAAAGGATTATAGACCCAAATTTGGAAAAAGGAGGGAAAGATGAGAAAGGACAAAAGATGTAGTAGTGAGAAAGGTTAAATAGATCTTCTGTTCAGCAAATATGGACCCGTAATTTTTCAACCTTTTATACTTCTTTATCTTTTGTCCTTTGTCTCTTTATCCCGCACTTGGGTCTATAATCCTTTGATTCACAACTCCAGCTTTATTTAGTATTTCTTCCAACGTTGCAAGATTTGGCTACATTGGGCCAAATGTGGCTACTTTTTTTTGTTTGACGTAAAAAATATCATTTGGCGCTTTGGCTACTTTTTCGGCTACATATTATTTATAATTATATTAATTGAATAAAAATGCACTTTAAAATGGTGTTTCGTCGCTTTTTATTAATTAGAGACCCAAATAAAACAAATATTTGTGTTTTTCAAATAAATTTTCTTTAGTCTCTTTTATAATAAATGAATTTATCTATTTCTAAGTAAAAATTGAAGGTGTCTGTAGAAGTAATTTTTTAAAATATCCTTTTTCGTGATAAAGATTTAATACTTATTATTATAATATAGACATGTTAATCCTTAAATATACTTGTATATTTGGCCTCAAGTATATATTATATATACTTGTGGCCCAAAACTCCTTGACTTCTTCCAATGCAGCCCAGAGAAACAAAAAGGTTGGACACCCCTGTTTTAAGGCATTACTCTTAGCTTGCCAATTCACAGGTTCAAAAACTGTGTTACATATTTTTTAGCTTTTTTTTTGGGTTTGATCTTCTGACCCAAAGGCAAAAGAAAATATATAACTCTAACATGTAATACAGTGGACACTTGCAAAATTTAAACATGTACTTTATATGAAGAAAAACACAACTCGGCACATTTTACTAACAAACTATAATATAGTATAACCTCCAAAAAGAGGACACTATCGGGACAGAAGTTTGTCCGCTATTCAGAGGTACATGCCAGTGGCCATATTGTATTTTAACCTGGTCATTATAAAGTGAAGAATACGATGGATTACAAAAGCATCAAGAATGTGAAAATATAAAAAAGTATATGTAGAATATATACTGTAAAAAAATTTATATACAGTATATTATTTATCTTTTCAGCTGTAAAAATCACATTTTAATTGAATACTAAATAGAAAACAATTGTATAGGATATTTTAATTAAATGGAACATAAAAATTACAACTAAACGTAAACATTGATTAAATATTAATTCATCAAAAATGATCTGAGTAGAAGTAACAAAAAAAAAATAAAATATTGGGTTGATGCAAAAGTTCGTCCCGTTTTTTTTTAAAAGAATCAAAGAAAAATTTTATTTACTAAAACTTACATTTAATCAATATAGTATGTGCCATTCTGTTCGATGACCTTTCTCCATCTTTCCGGTAGCTGCATAATCCCGTGCTCATAGAATTTCTGAGATTTCTGGCTAAAAAACTGATCCAAGTGATTTTTCAAGTCTTCCAAGGAAGTAAAGTTTTTACCATCTAAGCTGTTTTGAAGTGATCTAAATAAATGGTAGTCAGAGGGTGCAAGGTCAGGAGAGTATGGTGGATGGACCAAAACATCCCAATCAAGTTGTAAAAGTTTTTGTCGGGTGGCCAAAGACACGTGTGGTCTAGCGTTGTCTTGATGGAACACAATGCCCTTTCTGTTGGCTAATTCAGGTCGCTTCTGGTCAATTGCTCGCTTTAATTCACTTAGTTGTGAACAGTATTTCTCTGAATTAATGGTCTGATTTTCAGGTAACAGCTCATAATAAATGATTCCCCTCCAGTCCCACCAAATGCATAGCATAACCTTCTTTGGATGTAAACTGGCTTTTGCGCTGGTTGAAGGGGCATCTCCGTGCTTACACCATGATCTTTTACGCTTAACATTATTGTACACAATCCATTTTTCATCACCTGTAATGATTCGCTTTAAAAATGGGTCAATTTCATTGCGCTTCAATAGAGAATCGCAAGCAGAAATTCGGTCTATCAAATTTTTTTCTGTTAACTCGTGCGGCACCCATACATCGGCCTTGCTTACCATTCCAAGTTGATGTAATCGCCTTGACACTGTTGACTGATTGATTCCAAGAATTTCTCCAATCTCTCGAGTTGTTTTGTGTCGATCACTTTCAATTAGTGCCAATATTTTGTCGTCATCAGCCTCGGCTGGTCGTCCAGAACGTGGTGCATCGCTAAGGTTAAAATTGCTTTCACGAAACTTTCTAAACCACTTACGGCACGTGGAATCATCAATGGCTCCCTCACCATACACAGAACATATCTTTTTTTGTGTCTGCGAAGCATTCTTGCCTTTTCGGAAATAAAAAAGCATAATATGTCGAAAATGCTCCTTATTTTCTGCCATTTGTAATGCTTAACAAAATTTTAAAAACACAACTAAGTAAGACAACTTTATTCTCAAATACTAGCTGAGATCCCTTCTGTCAAACAACGTCGAAATTTTACACATGTGAAAGAAATAACACTTCAGTGTTGCGCTTTTAGACAGTTGGTGTTAAAAACGGGAAGAACTTTTGCATCAACCCAATAAAACTGTTATTATGAACAGAAGGATTTAGGAGATGAGAGTTTGAATGTCAAGTTACAAAGGTGATTTGCTAGCCACTTCAAGGGATAAAAAATGTATTTGGTATTCTTGCATTTATAATGCCATTTATGATCTAAGCAACTAATAAAAACCAATATGGTGATTTGTCTGCTTTATAGTTATTGAGTAGAAGTAATTTTTCATACATTTTTGCATTTTTCAATAATGATTTATTAAAAATTACTTTAGCCACCACAAAGGTATTAAGATCATAAATTACGTCATAAATTCAAGAAATTCAAATATCTTCCTACAATTTAAAGTGTTTGGCAAATCGCCTTTGTAACACAATCTTTAAATTTTCACCAAATAAACACTGTAGTCTTAACCTTAAAACTATTTCTTTTTCATTACTACTGTACTAAGATTCTTGTCAAATAAATAAATAACTAAGGAAAAGTTTACTTAACCAGATTAGTCTTCTTTAACAGATAATGAATATTGTTCCGCATTTTACAACCTACCCTTCTCCCCTATTCCTATTTTTAGCCAGTCTTTATTCAACACCTACAGTCAAAGTTTTTCCTTTGAAAGAGTATTTGAACTGTATATCTGCTTTACGTAATAAATTAAACAAAAATGCTAATACAAATTCAAATTTAAAAAGTACAGTTGTTCTTAAAAAAGCAGGATGTCCAAGGTTTCAGTAAAGAAAACTTCAGACCCTAGTGCTTACAAAAAAAGTCTTCAGACACGATAAGAAAAATATTTTTTCAATAGATGTAAATTCTGCTAATCATGTTATTCCTGTAATTTACTTATTTTCATTAGTAATTATATATCATAATCATATCATATATTACAAAAAAAAATCAATCAAATTTAATTATATAATGCTTAGAATCCAAAATTATTTTCTTTAATGTAAAAATGTCTTAAATGCAAAGTATTGTTATATAATTAAATTAATTTATCAAATTTTAATTATTAATACTAAAAATTTACAATTGCAATCATATAATAAAATTATTAGAAAAATAGATACTCTACATCTACTTTCTCATTAAATTTTGATAGAAAGGAATTAAAGCTTATGCAATCTCCTGAAAAAATAACCAAGGTCATAGACTGGTAGTAGTTAAATTGATCAAATCTTTTAGGATGTTCCACAATTGAGAAATTTAAACATTAATTTGTTACTTTATTTTATTAGTATTTTAAAATTTTACAATTTGGAGTAATTTATAAGATACTTTTATATGAAAAAGTATTTGATCTAATTATTGCAAGCTAACTTCTCAAAAAAGAAAAAAATTAAACACAGCAACAATTCCTAGTAATGAATACATTGTTTCACTGAATAAATGTTAAGACACAGCTTCATTATAGCAAAATTATTTTAAAAAATATATCCAAATATTTTTGGGTCTGTAGACCCATCTTTAAAGGATTACAATCTGAAAATAAAACATCTCAATGCCTACATTATCTAGTTATAAAGTATATTTTCTTATTTATAAAAGTTATATTAACTATTATTACAATATTAGAGAAACCAAGTCTCTATTACTATCAGTGAAATTCCTATAGTTGTAAATACAGTGATACCTTGGTTTTCATTGATAATCCGTCTGAAAACAATTGGTTAAATCCAAAACCGACAAAAACCTAGGCAATCATTTCCATGCAAATCAATATAAATCCAATTAATTCATTCCAGACACTCCAAAATACATATCAAAAACACATTTTATAGAGAATAAATATTGTGTTTAATACTAAAAACAATAAGAAATTAATAAAAATGAATATAAAATACTAACGTAAAGAATAAATGAACATTTAACGTGGTATTCAAAGGGCTGCTGGCTCTGTAAACTTTTTTTGGTCCCATGATTGAGCTAAAAGATTATGAAAGCAACAGAATTATGTGGCTAGATGCACGGGGTAATGATCAAACAACAAAAAACAATGCCACGCCAAGCAGGAAAATGCACGGATCACCCTTTGTTTTCGCAATATTAGCAGTGAGGTAACGTGATCCGAGGCAATTGACAATAACTGAAGTCAATGAAAACCAAGGTATTACCGTACATATTTCATTTATTATTTCCCATAAATCCATCTATATGTCAGTAATTATGAAAGTGGTCTGTCATATATTTTTCTGTTGGAAATATGACTTTGCAAAAATAAAACAAAAATACTTACTCTTACAAAATAGTTTTTCTTTTGTGTAAATGTAAAATTTTATCAATAGTTTGTGAAATAAATTCAAACTTTTCCTACTTTTGACTTAGACCACTTTGATAATAATCTGAATCTGTATATATCTGAAATAAAATAATTTTAATAATATTCTTGTTTAGTGAAATCACCATTTTTATATTTGAAGGATGAGAAATTGGGTCCTGTATCACCTCCTGTGTCTCTGTTTTATTATATATAATTCAAATTTAACTTAAGTTAATCAAGATAGATTTAATATATGCAAATTTTATATTATAAAGATATAATCCAATGACTTTTTGGTTACTAAAGGGTCAAGTTATCATTCTTTAACGCTGTCTTATCAATAAATGCCGTGAATTTATTGTATTTATGAAAGAAAGCATCCATATAATGAACTAAAGGTACTACAATTAATATATAATGACTCATTTCGTTTCATTGATTTTTAAAGAAATTTCCTTCTTAATAAATATAAAGAACATATCTATCAATACGTACCAATTTATATGTTATAAATACTTCAAACGGCCGAAATAATCGAATTTAAAGTATATTTTAATATAACCTATACAAGAAAACAGTATATTTTTACGACCCACACAACGTGAATTTGACGACTAAAAATGGTCGCCTTTTTCATAATCTCGATACCGCGTCTTTTATTAAATAAACCAATCGCATTTAATTTCACATTAATTTTTGAATAAACAACCAAAGAGATGTCAGAAAACAAAATTTTTCTATTCTCGAACTCAAATCGAAGATAGATAACCAATAGCGTGGCCGTATACGGCTTTAAACGTGAACTAATCAAACGTCGGATAACTTGCGAGGTTTTATTTTATTTTTTTTTGGACGTAAGCATACGTTTGACGTATGCACGCGACTTTTGAAAAATATGTGGATATTTTGCTCAAATTAATTTATCGACGAATTAAATTAGTATAAATTTAATAATGTCATTTGAAAATTTTAATTGAGTAATTGACATTTATTACATGTTACACGTGCGAAACATGATGTCTAATGTACGTCAACAACGTTCTACTACTTTGGATGGTTTACCTAAACAATTTGTCTCGTCGATGAGGACACTTTTTGATATTATGGACGATAAGAAAACTGGTTATGTAAAATTTAGTGAAATTGAACGTCGGTGGCACGAAAATGGTACAAAGGGTTTGCCTAGTGGTGTGCTTGAAAGTCTAAGGAAAGTCACTCCCACTAATGGTATGTTAAGCTTTGAACGTTTCTGTGCTGGCCTAAAAATATGTCTCCTTCGTCACCGTGCTAATCAGTTTAACGAAGACAAACAGAAAGTCTCCAGATTAACAAAAATGGCAAACAGACCGGCATCCGTACCGTTACCGGAGAAGGGTAACGAATGCACCAAAATGAAAATACCAAATATGCAGAAGCGTCCCGGTAGTGCCACTGATATAAACGAACCGACTCTGAGAACCAGGAGTCGTCATAATCACGTCAACACTGCCACCGTAAGACCCAATAACGTGTTGTCTCAGCAGAGAGCGTTAAGTATGCCGCAGTTACAGGACGGTTGCGTTTGTAACGATAATCCTTCCCATGGTTACAAGACCGAATTGAAAGTCGGTTCGCCGACCGCGAACGTTCATGTAGGTTACGACCGTGTTGGAATTATGACTGCATTGGAAAACTGGAGATTGGGTATTATTAAAAACAGTGATCAGGTGAACGATGGAAAAAATCCCGAAATTAGTGAAAGGAATTTGAATACGAGGAATATTACCATCAGAGGAAATCATAATGAAAATAATCCTGTTGGGGAAGAAGGTAATTCAATAATCTAGTTGATCTGAAACGAAGTCGTTTGAGAAAAATTGGTCTTGAGTTTATTCTTATTTTTAGAAATTTCTTAACTGCTCAAGTGAATCGATACATCGATCAAGAAATTAAGAGAGAATTTAGAAAAATCAATTAATGTAACCATTAAAGACAGTTGGATCCAATTAACCCCATTGTTACACTGTGTATTCTGTTCTATCTTCTCTATCTACCTGAGTTTCTAGTCTTTTGAACTCTTGTTTTGTGCTATATATTCGAATTTTTGGAGCATTTCCAAATCACTTCATTTTTCTTTCTTCAATTTTCTAAATTACGGTAGTCACTTTCCAAAGTTACAAATTTTTGTCATTTTAACTGGAAGAAAATTACCGGAGGATAATAAAATATGTTATTAATACTCGAATTTGAAAAGTATTCTGTTGAATTTTAGTTATTAGCTTTCAGATTTATGGCCTATTAACTGAAGAATTGAGATCATGAAACGTTCTAGGAATCAATGAAAATGACACGTATTTGAATGTTCCTCAGCCAGACTATTAATGCTATAAAACCTGTAGTAAAGTTGGACATTGATGGGTTTACGAAAGTGTGCCCACTTTAAAGAGGCGTCCTTGATAGAGGAAAAGATATTAAGAGAGTCCCAAGTTATAGGAATTTGATGGTGTAGGAATGTTCGACTTAAAAAAAGTTTCACTGTGTTTTTTATTGAGCATTATTTTAGCCAGCCCATTATTGGTTTGGCCAGACCCACAAAGGAGCGACTCCCAAAAAATTCCTGGGGGTTTTTTGACCCGTCCGGATTCGACACCGGATCTTTCAAACGGTAAGCTGCCATCGTAACTGCTCGGCCATCTGGCAATACAGTAAAACCTGACGGCCGGATACTCAGATGACCAANTTTTTTACCAATTTTTACCTGTGTATAAGAAGATTTCTTAAAAAAATGCTTTGAAGAAATCTTATACACAGGTAAAAATAGGTAAAATTTTTTTACCAATTTTTACCTGTGTATAAGAAGATTTCTTCAAAGCATTTTTTTAAGACTGTTACTTCTGTGGTAGTGTATAAGGGATGAAGATGGACTCAAAAGTTATTTTTGACTTTTTGTACATAGTCTAAACTTCAAATTATGAAGAAAATACATCCTGAGTAATCAAAAATTGCAAAATAAATATATTGAAAAATATATAAACAATAAAAAATTATACTTCAGAAGTTAATTCATTATCAAAAACGTAAAATATTTGAGTAGTCCAAGACGTAACCAAAGATTGCAGCGCCACAGCACTGGCAAAAATTTAAATTTACTGACTGGAATTCTTTCGGATAATCAATGCTCTACTGTATTAGGGAGACCTAAGTGAGTGCATACAATCTCAGGAGAATGGGTAAATGACAGGTTTGTGAGAATGTTTATAAGGTTGTAGATCTTAGGTATCTCGGAATTAACTTTATTAGTGATGGAGTTAAACACTGAGTACCAAATGGGGAGATTACAATAGATAACACTGGAAATTAGTGAAAAAGATGGAGTAAAGAGTCAGTTTGGAAGAGGTGGTCTGACAGTTTCTCAGCAATATTGCTTTGTACACAGCCAATCTGTAAATAATTTTGTCTATGTGATACTTGAATGTTAGTTTATTGTCAAAGAGATGCCAAGATTTTTAATGGAGTTTGATGATGGCCAGATTATCATTGTTAATTCTGAAAACAAAATTAGAGTTTGTTCTAATTAGGACAAAATACATATTAATAGGTACAGTTTTATTAATTTTAATGCTGAGATTAAGATTTTGTAGGTTATTTATGAAAACATTGAAGTCCCATTGTAAGGTAAACAGATTGTTATTTATGATCTTGATGCCATCAGCATAGCCTATTATTAAAGAGATGGGTTTAGTGAAAATACACTGGTGGAAAATGAAATCCCAACACCAAGAAAGAGTTGTGCTAGATAAACAAAACTTGGTAGGTGTGTTTTCATATCTGAAAGATGATGTCTATTCAAATTTTGCACTAGACGAATAAGAGTGGTGCAAGTAGTGCCACTATGAACATGCAAATCACGTTTGCTGTAAATACGGGATGTAAACTTGTTGAGCATTATTTATCATTCGGATTGAATGTTGTGAGTTAAGGTTTGAACAAGAATGCCTTTAAGGAAACAAAGAAGGCAGTATCAGCAGCTTACTGAGTTTGAACGACGCCATGTAATAGAGATATGAGAAGGTGGATTTTCTTTCCACACTATTGCAGAAAGACTTGGTAGGGATTTATCCACTGTGCATGATTGTTGGCAGCTGTGGTCACGAGGAGTTGTCTCAAGAAAACCTGGGTCTGGCTGCACATGAGCCACTACTGAGAGGGAAGACTGCCATATTCGGTGCATGGCTGTGGCACGTCATACTGCATCTGCAGCAGAAATTAGAGCTTTTGTTGGCACCAGAGTGACCCAGCAAACTGTAACAAATCGATTACTTGAGGGACAGCTCAGAGCTAGATGCCCTGTGATGTTCATTCCACTAACTCCAAATCACTGCGCTCTGCAACTTCAGTGGTATCAAGCAAGAGCTCATTGGAGAGTGGAGTGGAGATCTGTTGTGTTCTCAGATGAGAGCCGCTTCTGTCTTGATGCCAGTGATGGCCATATGTTGGTTAGGAGGCCAGGTGAGCACTTGGAACCAAGCTGGCAACACAAAATCAGAAGCATCAGGATCTGGCAACACTGAAACAAGTTTCGAGAAGGATTACATGTATCAACAGAAGGCGGAAAAGAAAATTTACATACTTAAGTACTAATAGTTCATGAAAATAATAATTTTCATTAACTATTAGTACTTAAGTATGTGAAAATTTATTACATTTCATGTTGTACAAGAGTTTTACCCAATTCTCAAACCATGTTAGAGTGAATCCGTGCTATAAAAGCACCGTGTTATTCAGGGGTTACTTGTAGTTCTATGTTTCATATGTCTATAACAAAAAGCAGAAAAATTAATAATATAGTTGAAGGTGTCTGTTTTTTTAAATAACATTAATTTATTACTGGATATTAAAAATAATGTTCTGAACTCACTGATCCAGTTTTCTTGAAAATGTGTCTACAATGAAATTTTATTTATTCTAATGTTGATTCACATACTTACCTATAACTAGTAAGGGAGGATAGACAAAAATTAACATAAAGTTAACATTAGACTAATAAAACTGAAAAAATTAAATGAAATATCTTTCATAAAAATTGTAGGATTTATTCTTACTTTAACTGCTTAAATTTTTAAATATTTCTTTTTATTCAAGAAAACAAACTTTTTAGTATTATAACTTGCATAAATAAAATATAAAAAAGAACAACAATTTTACAAATGTGTTAAGATGAATTAAGATCATTTATTAAACATATCTAAATTGACAGATAATTTTTGGACTAATTTAATTAATTATAAAAATTTGGCCTAAAGATAAATGGTTGTGCTTAAACCGTTCTATGTAAAGATTAGAGACTGTCCATAAATTAGGTCCATAAAATTTTTTTTTTTAATTTTTACTCTCCCTCCCTCTCTTGCTGGTCCACCAGTGGCCAAGTGGTTCCATTCCCCAAACACTGAGAGTTCGGTTGTGGGGTTGTGTCTCGCCAGGACGGGCCGGCAATGTGGACTTTTCTGGGTTTTCTCCATGTCTGTAATGCCTGAATAGGGGCCAGTTACCCTTAAAAAAATCTCCCAGAAGGCATTTTCCCTAGGCAGATCGCCCAAGTGTTGCATTGCCATAATTAAACCAAACAAACCCTCTCTTGTCCTGGTTTGTCCAAGTTTCCGTAACCCTTCCCCTCTTTCGACGTTCAACAAAACTTGATCCCCCTTAAAACTTTTTTTTAAATCGCTTTATGAATGATAAATACCAGAAATAAAAACAAAACATACAAGAAATTTTGAAATAAATATAGTAAAATGCATAAACTGAATAAAATTTAATGAAATAAACAGACATCCACTGAAGCTCAACCCTCTTTTTCCCCTTGTCCTATTTTTTGTAATCCCCTCTCTCCCCTCCAGTGTGGATGTCATTTATGGACAGCCCCTTAGTAGTAATGAATTTATTTGAGATTTTTAGTAATTTGAAAGATTTTGGAAAAAAAAAATTGATCTATAGCAAGATTAAAACCTAAAATTATTGTATATCTGACAGACATATAACCAATTGCATTATCCAGATTCATTTTTCATTTTTACTTCTACACATATACAGTAGAATCTCTATCTTAAAATCACAGATATTGTTATCAGTCATCTATTATTATTTTGTGACATGCTAACTTAAAAATACACTTATAAAACTACACTTATTAAGTTATAATTAGTATTTTGGTTCTAGTTTGCTTAAAAATGTCTAATTTACCTAAAAATGATGTCTTTTCACACTCAGTTGCAAGTTTCTATTAATAAACAGTTATCAATTATCTTTATCAGTCTTAACCAGTGCTTTAAACTTTGTTTTAATTATCTTTTGTTTGCAGTATAATAGCTTAAATTGCTGGCATTTGTTACTTATATATTAAATGAATTACTATTAATTAATAATAAATATTATAATCAATAAATCTTTAAAGTTATACAGTTTTTAATTGTTTTAATTTTTTTTTAATGCAAAAAGCAATACAACCAGAATTACCATTAATAGTAATCTTATTTATTTACTCAGTTTAATCTTGTCAGTCAGTTATTATCAATATAGGTGAGTTACAAAGTGATTTAAATAAGTGAATTTCATTGTATATATAACACATTTATAAGCAGAGTTATGCAACATACCAAACAACCAGCAAAATAAAAAAAAATCTTTACTTAGACAAACATTTTCATCCATATACAACAGACATCATGGGTTTGATTAAAATAATATAATAATAAGACATTAAGATGAAAACTGGAACAGAACATTTTTAATTTAAAAAATAAACATTCAATTCAGTTCAGTAACACACAGTATTAAGATTAACAGCACCAAACCTTTCTCACTAATTTCTAGCCTTATTAACAAGAGTACAAACGTTTTCGGCCTTCTTAATAGGCCTTCCTCGGGTACATCAAAAACGTTTGTACTCTTGTTAATAAGGCTAGAAATTAGTGAGAAAGGTTTGGTGCTGTTAATCTTAGAAATAGTTCTAGCTACATATGCATAGTAACACACAGTATTTTAAATATTCAAATTTATCACGATATTAAGTATATTTGTATTCAATTTCCTGTTGCATTCATCAGGAAATTGATTATGAAAGTTCAAATTATTATAATTTATACAACTTCTTTTCATATTCATTCATTTTGCACATTCATTTCAATTTGGAATCAAAAATACTAAATGAAAAAATTCAAACAATCAAAAGTATGACGTAAAAATTAAAGGTGTTTACATTTTCGTAAAATATTTGCTACTCTACATTATCACTCACAATAAAATATTATCACTATATTATCACTGGTGATAAAAATAATATAGTAACAATACAATATAAAATACTAAAGACATTACAAATGGTATTATAAGAGATGTAATTAATATTGTAGAGATGTTAAGGTATATTGAGAAAAAATCCTCAGCTTAAAATTCTAGAACAATATGGACTTGGTTCTTTCTAATAAAGTGATTAGGTATGAAATGACATTAGAATTTCTTTAAAGAAAGGAAAGAATATAAAAAGTTTTTTAAAAAAACTTTTCTTATTTACAGATATGATTATTTCTCATTCATTACTATTATAAATTATAAATTCTTCTTATACTCTTAGTTTTATCCTTAAATCTAATTGCTATTGAATACAATCAATCAAAAAAATAATCTTTTAATTCAGTGTGGACTGGCCCACTGGGAAATTGGGAATTTCCTGGTAGGTTGCTTGCTATATAAAGTATGTTAAAAATAAGGGAAGGTCATCAACAGTTCATTAATTTTAATATAGTTTGTATTTCACTCGAAAAAATTAATAAACAAAATACAAATGGTGTCTATTGTATTAAATTTTAAAAAATTCATACTAGAATATATAGCAGTGTACAACCTGTTCATTTGAGCTGCTGTGGTAAATGAACAGGCATCTGGCTTATGGCAAACACGGACTAAACTTGAAATTTTAAAATGGTTGTTCCCAGTTTGGACATGAGACATTATGGAATGGCCTGTGTGAACTGACATTTTTCCTGCCATGATGTGCATTTTTAACTTTATTTAACTAACCTACTTATCACACCTCAGACTGTAGGCTACCATGTGGGTGCTAAGAGTCTTTTTAAGTCCATTGTAAATTTGGTCATGCCCACAGTGGGGTTGGCTGGATGGTGAGAGATGGAGCCTAACATATATAGGATAGACTATCCATGTAAAATTCCTGGTATTTTTCAATCATTCAGATTCTATTTCAGGTTACCATAGTGGTAAGCTGACACCTTAATCTTCTCCAATTAGTGATATACAGTGGTACTTCATACTTTGAATTCTTCAGAATTCAAACATCAAATTTGCAAAAATTTACTTTGCAGTTCAAACAACGCTTCAAAGTTTGAACTCCACATGCAATGAAAAAATGCACTGGAAGTATAAAACAAGCTTCTGAATAAAGAATACAATCTTAAATTTAAAAATATGTATAAACTTTTGGTTCAACTTTCTGTTCATACTTTTACTTATTAATCATGTCATTGGAGAAGTGTGTGGGAGCAATTAAGTCCAACAAGTAAGAGGAAGACTGTAATATTGATGATTCAGATGAAAAAGGAACTTTATTATAACTTATTGATAAGCATGAAAGCAATACACATGGTCTGGCGGCCATGTTTAAGATGCCAAAGTGGACAGTGTGCAACCAGTAAATGCAATTTTCATTTTATTCTACAGTATTTATATATTTTATTTATTGTTTTCATGTTTTAATTTATTATTAGGGCATTAATCATGCTATTTTTACTGTAAATTGCATGTATTTGCTGTTTTAAGTTTATTGAAATATGTATTGTTTAGGGTCCAGGAATGGATTAATTCACTTTCCATTATTCCTTATGATGAAAACTGCTTTGGACTTTGATCTATTTAGAGTTTGAACGGCCTCTGGAATTAAATTTGAAGTATTAGACACCACTGTACTTAGATAAATATATATGTGGGCCTATATTTGCTATATATTTTCAGGGCAAAATTTGTTGCCAGTCTTGCACTGCTCTAATTAGATAGATAAGATACTATATCAATTTATATTTTATAAATAAAATAACTTAATTGTTATATTACAATAAGAGTGTTAATGTTTTATTTTCTATTAAATAATAGCATTGAGGTACAGTCAAACCTCAATATAGTTTCACCCTTATAAAGCATCAATAAATAACTACAAATGGATCATCCCCACAAATATTAAATAGAGAATCCTTCAGCCTCTGTGAATTACTAAATGTACAATTTTGCATTGCAAATGGTATTATCATCACCAAATCACATGACTTTCGAACTCTCAAACTCACATTTTTATAAGTGATGACAGCAATCTCATTATTATATGTAATTTTTATATTTTGAAGCTCTTCAGTTTAGTAACAATTTTATAGAAAAGAAAATGATGGCACTAGATTGAGATTTGGTATTTTATTTACATAAAAATAAGGATATTAAGTAATATGTTTTTAATATGTAAAGTTGTTTATATGTTTTGAATTTATTAGGTAATGGGAATAAAGTACAAGAAACGGGTCCATCAGCAAGAAGAACACTTCATCGACGTAGAGAACCCAGACGGCATACTTTAGCAAATGGAATTGATTATAATATGGTAGGATATTTCTTCTATTAAATCTAAATAATAATTCTAGATACATTTATATCATGATTTTTTTTATTAAAATAATAATTTTATTTTAATATACAACTTTTTTATTCTTATAAGAATATAAGTATTTGGTATTTTATAGAAAATTTATAAATTTTCTATAAAATACCAAAAGATCTGCTGGATTGTATTGGGCTATATTATGGCTACATTTAATTATCCGGCAGATCGCTTGGTGTTAATCTAGAATCAGATTATTCAATGTTTATATTGCTATAAAATTTTTAATTGTCTATAAATTATACAGTAAATTTGTTTGGATAATTATGCATGGTAAATTATACTGATTATTGTATATAAATTAATTGAAAATATATAGAAATTACTTTTTACTTCCCCAGTTGTCATATATAACAGAGGAAAAGTGTGGCAATTGGTCAAAAAAATGACATTCCCATAAGATTTTTACACTTTTGGATTCAGGACCTTAAAACAGCAAGAAATACAAAAGAAATTGGGGGTTTTTTCTGAATGTATCGATGTTAGTGTGTATGGGAAAGACATGATTTTGTTCACCCACTTTGAAGCTTAATAACTCCTGTGTTTTTGTTGAAAATTTTGTAAATTTTGCTGGGAGGTTTGTATATTTAGGGTACTGATGCTGTTAAATTTTGGGTGGTTAATGTTTGAGGGAGTGGGGAGATAGGGAGTCACATGTTATATATCAAGTAGGTGAGACTTAGAGTTTACTTGTTATTAGCATTTATAATTTTTTATAAAACTCATCTCTACTCTTAAAATTAAGCTTTTTGCCATTTTATAATAATTATATAAAAAGTTGTTAAATAAAATATCATAACAGATGGTGCCACATGCAGTTTTAAATGTTGCTGGGAAAGTTACACAACTCTTTTCTGGATTTTTATAAAATTAAACACAATGCAGAATATGGTTATTATTATCTAAAAAAATTTATACTTTTGTTTCTTTAGGAGACAATATATGGAAGAATTAACTAATGATTTTACAGATTGCTATTTTTACTTAAGATTTCTGTGTATTTTTTGGAAAAATGTTAATCTGTTTATATATCATAACCTTTTTTCTTAGAGTTTAATCAAAAGATGGCACCAACACCTCTAGTGCCAAATTACTTAGCATTTAATTAATAATAGTAGTAGTAATATAGTCCAATATAATTCAGAATTATTTGGCTTTAATATATAACTATTGGTTTGGATGTTTATATTAGAGTATAATCAATGCAAACAAAATATATTGGGAAAGTGTGAATGAAAAAAACATATAAAAATTTCTTCACTGTAGAAAACTTTTATTTAAGGTGACTAACTGAAAGATCTTGAAATTATATGTATGTGACAGTTGCACACTAATACAAACCAATCAATCGTACAGGGCATCCAAAAACTCTGGAAACTTAGGCAAATAAACATAAGTGGTTTATTGATATTACAGTCGACCTCCTATAACACTGTTGATACTGTAATTCCATTTTATATGACTTCCATGTTGTGTGAGTCACTTAGCTTTTACAAATATGTGTGCCGGACTGTGAACGGCTTGCATATTTGTAAAATCTAAGTGACTCGTACAACATGGAATTTATATAAAACGGAATTATCAACAGTGTTATAGGGGGGGTCGACTGTACTGTACATTACATGTGATTGATGTGTTGCGCCTCATTAACAATGCAAGAAATGTATGATGTGCTATGCTGTACTTTAATACCACAATTTCATTAATCAAGACTATATTTCTAGACTTTTATGGTTATCCTGTTTTATTGATAGATAATAACATAAATAGTAATATACTCATATATTGAAATAGTACTCTGTAAGAATATTAAATGTAATTTTAAGTATTATTTAATGGGTACTGTTAATTTGTGTAATTCATAGAGCTCAATAATTTTTTCAGAGTATAAATTATTATAACAATAACTCTTCAGTTCCAGAACTGGACAATTAGATAAGGAAACATCTTTTTGATTTCCAACAGGTATTAAACCTACTAATGGAAATCAAAAATGTGTATTTCCTTATCTAATTGTCTTACATCCAATTTGACTTAAGAATATTTGAATTGGACAATAAAACACAGATATTAATATATCAACAAATCTTATTCTAAGGGCTCTTTTTAAGAACAAGAGAATTCTAAAACAGAATGCTTTACGAATCATGAATTACGCACTTTAAAACTTGATTGTGTCAAATTCAAAATTTAAAAGCATTTACATTGTCAGAAGTACAAATGCTTATTGAATGCTTGTTGCCTAACAGAGAAGCATCACAACGGGCTTGCCATTCCCTGAAAACTTTTTTATTTGTAATTGATATAGTTACCCTTCAAAGTCACCTTAAAAATTTCTAGGTCATCTATATCTATAATATGTTATGATCCTATGGCTCCCATTAAACATGTGGAGAAAACCCAGAAAACTCCACACAGCCAACCTGTTGGTCAGGTGTGAAAATAACCAACTGCATATTGTTGTTTGATACTTTTCTCCCTCCATTGGGTGCAGTGAAAGAAGAAAAGTATCAAACAACAATATGCAGTAAAATTTTATGTGAAATTGAGAAAAAGTGTAACTGAAACTTATAAAAGAACATCATACACAGTTTTTAATGTGTCATATGCTCAGGTTTGTTTTTTCCATAAATGTTTTAGAAGGGTGAGAATTGGTAAAGTATGGATTGCCATTCTTTAAGATTGAAGAATGACAATTAAATTGATATGTGATGTTAATTTATCATATTTATGGAAAGGAAAATTTTGAGTGAAAATCTCAACATGAAGAAGCTATGCATAAAAATGATGCTGAAAAATTTGATTGATGAACATGAAGTAGCAACAGAAATGCTAGAATGCCTTGGTATTGAACCAGATTTCCTGAAGAGAGTGATAACTGATGATTAAAACTGGTTCTTTGAGTATAACTCTGATATGAAATGCCAAAGTGAAGAATGACACACACCGAATTCAGTGAGGCAGAAGGTGGCTTAAATGATCAAATCAAAAACAATGGTTGTTATTTTTTTTATGCCCGTGGAATTGTTTATAAATAATTTGTACCTGAAAAAACTGTGTATCAAACTTTTCATAAATAAGTTCTAAAATAGCTTTGAAAATAAGTGTTAAGAGTGTGTCACAAAAAATGGTAGAATATCTACACCGGAGTACTGTAAAAAATGCACTTATCTATTAGCCTTTTACCGGAATGCATTTCATTACACTATACAACAAAGTTACAAACGTTTTTGAACTGTTACGGTTCTTCTTCAGGTAACGATTCCCTAATAGAATGCACTTTGATTCAAAGTTGTTAAGAAATACGATCTGGAACGTTGTCTCGACCTGATGACGTCAATATGGACCTGTGTGCTATGCATACTGTGTTCTATCTTAGAGTTTTATCTAGCAGGGCCTGCCAGGCCGTCAATAGAGCAATTTCCTCCTTGTAGTTAATGCAATTACTCTTTTTATTGTGTTTAGGCATATGTAGATCGCCTCCAGCCATCTTAGATGGTTCATGCAGTGGGTGGTGTGAATGACCTTTGCTTGAGAGAATATGGGTTCTGTGTCTGGGTCCGAAGAGTATACAGCCAGAGCTGTTGGTTCTTTTATGGTTAATATCTGCTTTATGTTCTTTGAGGGGACATTTGGTTGATCCTATGTAGACCATGCCTCTATCACACCCGTCATCAATGATAGGGATGATGTAGATGCTGGGAAGTTTATTTTCATCTGGGGTATCTTTTCCATTTCATAACAAATCAAAAATCGTAGTGCGTCTTCTAAAAGTAATACGGATATTCTTTTTCCTAGCAATCTCAGTGTATATGGATTTTAGTACCAGATTATATGATAGGGATGTTGTTACTAGGAGTATCATTGGTGAGTTGGTTACAATTTGCTTTCTGCTGTTGTATTTTTTTGTTCAGTTTACTTATGAGTCTGTGGTAACTGTGTTGTTTGGCTATATCTTCTATGTGTTTAATTTTGGACTGGATTGCTGTTTGGGAAGAGGAGTGTGTATATGCTCTCCTAATCAAGGCCTTGAAAGCTGCAACTTTGTATTGTGGAGGGTCACATGATCCTGCTGGTATGTATAAACAATCTGAACTTGGTTTGTGATAAACTGCTGTGTGGACGATTGTTTGCTCAATCTTAATGTTAAAGTCCAGGAAGTGAGCCTCTGTAGGGTGTGCCTGGTCTATTTCTATAGTTAAGCCATAAGGGTTGTCATTGATATCATCAGCTAGTGCAGAAATGTTCGGCTTGTCTTTCCATAGGATTAGAATATCATCAATATACTGCTTATATAATAGGATGTTGGGGAGATATTTTGGGATAAATTCCGATTCCAGTTTCCTCACTACTATTTCACACAGGTCTCCTGTGATGGGGCTGCCCCTTGGGACTCCTCTTTGTTGCTCATACGTTATTCCTTTGAACCAGAAGAAGGAGTTGTGACAAAGCAGATGTGCCATTTCAAGGATGTGTTGGTGCAATGCATTATCTTTTACGATGTTAAACAGGATATCCCTGATTGTGCAAAATACTGGTGAAAGTTTAATAGATGGGTATAATGATTTAAAGTCTAAGACCGTGATGAAACTAGGCGACATAGGTAATTCTTTAATCATAGAAATAAGGTCTACCGGAGTGGTGAGGGAGTATGGGTATCCTTCTAGGAGGGGTGTCAGCATCCTGTGTGTGGCTTTCTCCGGTTTAATAGTAGGTGCCCTGGCTTTATCAACCACTGGTCTTAGTTCGCATTCCTGTTTGTGGGTTTTAGGAGTGTCTGGTGCATCAGTAAAAATATTTTTTAGCTCCAGCCGTTTCACTAGTTTCATATTGGTGAAGCATTTAACTCTCGTTTGTAAATTGGGTCTGTATTGACGTCATCAGGTTGGGACAATATTCCGGATTGTATTTCTTAACAACTTTGAATTGAAGTGCATTCTGTTAGGTTAGGGGATCATTACCTGAAGAAGAACCATGACAGTTCGAAAACGTTTGTAACTTTGTTGTATAGTATGATGAAACGCGCACCAGTAAAAGGCTTATAGTATGTCACAAATTTCCAAAATTCTGCACCACTATAAAACTCCATCACATTCCTTGCTATTGATTCATCAATTTTTAGCCTCCAGATTGATTTCTATACTTTCCCAACTTCCATATTCTTCCCAGTGACTTTTTCTTATTCTCTAATGTAAAATCCAAAGTCAAAAGTCATCATTTTGAAACCATTTAGAAAATCCAAAAGCCTGTAATCAATGTTGTGTAATAACTCAATTAAAATGACTTCCAAGGATCCTATGAGGTATAAAAAAAGACTGAATAAGTTTATTACATCAGGAGAAACTTACTTAAAAGAGTATTAGCATTAAAATGTGAGAATTTTGAATAATTGATATGTAATAAAAATTAGTGTCATTACTTTTCAATCAGATCTCATATGTGCTGTATTAAAATCTCTTTTTAATAAACAATATTTTGTCATTGTTACTAATTAGAGAAATTTAAAATAATGTAAATCTAAATGAACTGGAACTGAACCACACCTTTAAAGATTTTTCCAGCAGAGATTTTTCTTTTGACAAATGATTTTTGGCTTACTTGATGAACCTGAGGCATGCTTATCAAGTGAGCCGAAAACATTTGTCAAAAGAGAAAACTCTGCTGGTTATTCAACAAATCAATTTTCCGAATAATTCCAGTTTTTAATTGATTTGGATAATCGACACACTACTGTATATGCAATGAAATTGAGGTCCATGCAAATAATAATCAGTCTCGTGAACTATATGATAAAGTTAGATATCTATCAAGAGAGTTCAAACCACGCACACAAATAATTAAAAATGATAAAGATGAAATCATAACTGATGCGGAAGGGATTGTGGATGTCTTGAGGAAGTATTGTGAGAAATTTTATAAAGACACTGTTCAATGAACAGAAAATGTACTCAGCAAATTAATAATCAAAACAATCAACACCTAATCTGTTGCCGAGGGAGTTTATTTAAAATATGAACATTTTCTATCTACTCCATATATCATCTTCAAGTTGAAAAAATGATCAACTTGAAGATGATCTATGGAGTAGATCGAAAACATTCGTATTTTAAATAAACTCCCTCGGCAACAGATTAAGTGTTGATTATTTTGACACTGGATAAACAAATGATAATAATCAACTTCAGAATAGATGGACAGGGGAAGTTGATCCATTTATTCTTAAATCAGAGGTAGAAAAAGCCATAAATACATTAAGAAATCACAAAGCTTCGGAATCTGACAACAAAACCTCTGAAATTTTAAAAAGCAATGGGAGAACTGGGTGTTGATATATTTCATAAAATTTGCTCCTTAATTTGGAAATCTGAGAGATGGCCAGAGGAATGGTGTAAATCAATATTTATTCCAATTTATAAAAAAAGGTGCACCAACAGATTGTAGTAACTACAGAACTATCAGCCTAATTAACCATGCCAGTAATGTAATGCTTCAAATAATTAATAACTCTTTGAAACCCTTCCTACTATCTTAAATAGCTGAAGAACAGTCGGGATTTATCCCTAATAAAGGAACTCTCGTGAACAAATCTTGAACGCTCGACAAATCATTGAAAAAGCCTGTGAATTTTATGTCAAAGCTTACCTTTGTTTCATAGACTACACCAAAACCTTTGATTGTGTAAAATGGCACAAATTGTGGCCTGCTCTCCAGAACATGGGAGTCCCGCACCATCTTATTTTGATGATCAGAAATTTATATGAGAACAACTGTGCAAGAGTAAGAGTTAGCAAAACTATGTCTAATACATGTACATCTGAAGCTGGTGTAAGACAGGGATGTCTTCTTTCCCCTTTACTCTTTAATGCTTATTCTGAAATAATTATGAGAAGGGTATTAGATAACTGAGATGGGGCCATAAAGTTAACAACCTGAGATACGCTGACAATACACTTATTATAGCATCCAGTGAATCAGAACTTGAATATGTTATGAAAATACTTGAAACTGAGAGCAGAGAATATGGATTGCTAATTATTGGAAGTAAAATAAAAGTTATGATAATTGACCATTCCTTAACACAGACTAAGGAAATTGCAGACTATAAGGTGGTGAATGAATTTCCTTGGATCACTTCTTACAAATAAAGGAGGATGCAATAATGAAATTAAATGCAGAATTTGCCTTGCTCACAATACAACCTCTAAATTATTTAGAATTTGGAAAGATTCTGCAATCACTATTTTTAATAAACTAAAGCTCATAAGAATGCTTATTTTTCCAATTGCCACTTATGCCTTGGAAACCTGGACCATAAATGCCACTTCTCGGAAGAAACTTGATTCCTTTGAAATATGGACATATAGAAGAATGCTGAGAATGTCTTGGATGGAGCACCGAACAAATTGCTCCATCCTAAATCAACTAAAATCACAACACGCCTTACCACTAAAATATACCAATCCTACCTTCGCTTCTTGGGACATATTTCCAGACACCATAAAAGTGGATTTGAGAAACAAATTCTAGAAAGCAAGATTAATGGTAAACGCCCTACAGGCAGATGTCGGATTAGGTGGGTAGACCAAGTAATGATGATTACAGGACATACAATGTATGAAGCCATCCAAATGGCACAACACCATGAGCAGTGGAAAGATACAATTAAAGCCATCAATTCGTAATATCACCAAGCCCTCTGAAGGGCATAGAACTAAGAAGTAGTAGTAACATACTTCTTGAATCTAATAAATTATCATACAGATCTTTAATTACTGCAAAAAACTGGATGTAATGCTTACAATTAACTCAAAACACACTTAAATCCAGTAACAAAATAATTGCTTGCACATGGTTGAATATATAAATTGGTTAATATTTAACATAAAATTAATGTTTGTAAATCTTATATAATAATATTTTTAATAGAAAGATGATAAAAATATTTAAAAATTCTCTCCTGTAAATATATTTAATTTATAATTTTGGTATTTTAGCTAAAAAGAATGAAACAGTTGGAACAAGAAAGAGATGTTTTGCTTCAAGGCTTAGAAGCTGTGGAAAGAGCTAGAGATTGGTATCTTCACCAAATTAGTGTTGTGAAAGATAAAATGCAATATATAGGAAAAAGTGGACTTCATTCGGTAATAATCTTAACTGCTGCTATTACTATTAATATAAGAAGAAAACAATTTTTTAAAATTTAATTAATGTTAGAATTGTTTATTAAATTTAAATTATATTTTCAAATTATCAAACATCTGAATGTGGAAGTGAAAGGAAAGGTAAATGGGATCTTTACAGAATGTTTGATTGCTGTATGTTTGCTGTATTTATGCAGTTATGTAATTAACTACATAAACAACTTTATTACTTTTTAATATACAGTATATAATTTATGTACTAAAACTAGGACACTAAACTAAATGCTTAATAATATATTATTATTACAGTAATATGTAATTGACACTCTAGAATCTAAAGGAGGTTAATGTATAGGGTGATTCAAAAGGTCTCAGGCAAACTGTAAAGGTAGGTCAGGAATACAAAATCAAACCATTTTTATCTAGGAACATATAGCCTGGATATGCAAGGAGTTTCTCCACAGCACCTTTCCTACATGATGGATCAGTCAGGGTGAACCCATTGCTTGACCACTCAGATTGTCCAACTTGTTCTCTGTTGATTTCTTTCTCTCGGGTTACCTCAAAGGCCTTGTCTAAGAGACTCCTCTAGCCTTTGATGTTGACCTTGTCACAAGGGAATTATGGTAGCTGCATGTGTCCACAAAAGGGGTTTTATTTTTTAACACATTCACTAATCCATGTACTGACACTACAAGGCATGTATTGCTGCTAGTGGAAAGAACTTTGAGCACCTCTTCTGAACTTGTAAACATATTGTATGTCTAATAAACATGTTTTACACCTTACTGTATATTCCTTTCTTCATGATTCTATCTGAACATCTAGTACCTCCAGGTGGCATTTGTGGCTATATATTTTTAGATAAAAATGGTTTGTTTTTGTATTCCTGACCTACTTTTAAAGTTTGTCTAAGAGCTTACAAATCACCCTGTTATTAAAGGTCCAAAAACCTTCAATAACTATTTTTCAAATAATTTTTATGTAGTGTTTTAATGTTGTTTGCTAAAATGAGTATACTAATATATACATTTAATTGATCTTGATAAGTTTTAGGGAGTCTGGATTTATTTATGATTAAATATTTTTAGAGATATTTTATCTCATTTCAGACTATCATTAATATAAGTAATAAGAAGACTGTTTTTCTGAAAAAATTGTTGTTTATTACAGTTGGTGATCGGTTAACGAACATAATCTGTTCCAAGACTTTGTTCACTATCCGAATTGTTTGTTAACTGATTATTGATTTACCATAAGTTTTTATGGGAATTTGATTAATTTATTCTGGAGACCTCCAAAAATAAATATATATACTTTCTTACTATATTTATTTATATGTAATAATAAAAATACATATATACACAGACTAATTTTTATTAGTCACGTTTTTTCCATTTGTAGGGGTTAAAGAATCTGTGTAATGTTGATTGCTTTTCTCTCTTCAGGATTTTTCAGAAGTAATTAATAGCAATATAATTGTAGAGATCCCAAAACCTATTAACCTCAACCTGGTTTGGATGCAATTCTAAGACCGTTGATCTGACATCCTCCCACTTCAAAAGATCTTTAATAGCAGATATCAGCATTAATCCTCTTTTTCAGAAGAAAACATATCTCATAAGTTTCTTGGTGTTCTTCATTCAAGAGTTCTTGGCATTCTTCTATCATCAGGTTCCATTATGAGCTCTTCAATGTTCCTTATTTCTCAGATATGATTTTTGTTACTTCTTTAGCTTCTTGAGTTTACTTGATTATACAGTATCTTTCTTAGATAAAATTAAACTGCGGCCTACTGTAGACCTGTTTAAGCCATACTGTTCAGCAACATCAGACATCTTGTTGCTGGACAATATGCCCACTCTCTACCTTTGCTATTATACTCTCACCTTTCAAAAATAAAAACCAACACAAAACTTAACGAGTGCCTGCCTGACAGTCTTGTGAATACTATAAAAGAATTGTTTCTGTCAGAAAAATAAAAGGCTGGAATTACAAGGGAGAGTTTCAAAGTTTGGAGGAATAATATCCGATCAGTATATACTGGGTTGAGCGTCGATGTTGACATCTCTTGCATTCCGGAAAGTTTTGAATTGTTGCCTGAAGACAAGAGGAGACCAATCGTTATTTATTATTTTACGTTGCTTCTTGTGTTTGTTCTGTGAGGTGTTCATTATCTGAGCATAAAAATCTTTCGCAAAAGTGTTCGTTGTCCAATTTGTTTGTTAATTGATCACCCACTGTACTTTAAATAGCAACCTTCGAATGTGTTATTAAAAACTGCATTAGCCCAAGTTGCTGTTTAACTAATTTTTTTAACTTGAACTATATATAAGAGAATTTTGTGTTTAAATATTTTACATAAATTACATTTTGCAATAAAAAGACTTCATTGTTCAATATCATTTTTTATTAGTTTTGTATTACTTTTGCCATTAAGTTTTATAAATATAAAACTAATTACCTTGTTTTTTCCTTTTTAAAAATAAGATTTCATTATAAGTATCTGATTAAAATATGATTAATCATTAAAAAAATATAAAGATTTGTCTAAAATCACTAATCTTCTACCAATTTCATTAAAGATGACTGAAGCTGACAAAATATTCCTTAGTGTTGTCAGAATCAAGTAGTTTAGTGTGTATTCATTCGTTTTTGAGTAATGTTATTACATACCAATAGTTTTTTCAAAAATTTTAGGAATATTCAAGTGATATGCACCAAGAACGATTAAATTTTCAAGCTGCTAGAGTGTATGAAGTCAATCAACATCTCGCTGCCTTGATGGATAGTTCAGAAAAGGTATATTTTTTTACTTTTATGAAATTTTTATAACAATCAGTTTTTAATTTTATTACCATTTTACTTACATTTACATTATATTGTAATGTTAATAAAGTAACTTTTAATGTAAATTAAATAATAAAAAAAATTTCTAATATTTGTTATTATATTATAACACATATTAGAAATTTTATGTTTTTAGAAAACAAAACATACACATTAAACAAAATAATAAGATAATAAAACTGAGCAAAAATAACTGGATTAATTTTTTATGCAGAAGTTAAAAAATGTTATTAAAATTATTTAAAATAACTATTTGCATAAATTTATAACTTATATGAAAGTAATAGCAGACCTATGTAGAATCTTTGATTAAAAAAGTAAATAAAAATAGAAGACTTAACCAGAGATTAAAACATTTTGCATCAAGCCACTTAAACAAGAATAATAGAATCAAACATCACCAAACAATCACCTAAATAATCAAACTATAATTCCACTAATTTTAAATAGTTAATACAAAGTAATTTGCTACTAGAGGTAGACATTTGTCACCATACTCTTAATTAATTACTTTGTATTATTTATTTAAAATTAGTCCTATTATTTAGGCGATTGTTTGGTGATGTTTCTGTATACTTGTTGGGTTTTGCAATGTTTGTTATACTAATAGAATCAAAGACCTTATGATACTTTTAGTAATTTATTTTCCTTTTAAAGATTGCTATGATTTTGTACAAAATTTGGGGTTACTCTTCAATATTTTGGTTTACATTAATCTAATTAATACTTGTATTTTAAATAATCTGGTAATGAATAATTTACAATAATAACTAAATGTACAATTGTAATATAAAATAGTAAAATGAAGAGAAAACTATTCAGGAAGTTTCTAACATTTTCAAATCAATTGAAAACTTTCTTAGTTTTGAACAGTAATTTTATAAACAACTAGCTGCAAGGACCCGCTTCGCTTGGTTTTTATTTGTACGTAATATAGTTTTTTTTATATATATAAAAGACTGTTTTTCTGAGTAATCTAGAATCTAGCTGCAAGGACCTGCTTCGCTGGGCAAAAAGTAACGATAGTGAAGATTAAGATAATTACATTATAGGTAATCTTACCCATTTTCACAGAATGCAAGAATTAGGTCCCCCGTTTCCAGAGTAATTAGAGAATTTTTACGTTTAGTCAAACAAACTATTTTCAACGTTTCTGGAACNATAGTGATGTATACTGTACAATAATGACAGTATGAATGATTAGTTGTGTAAGAGAAGCCAAAAATCAAAAATATAAGTACAGTACATATTTGACATTATTATTATTAACAGTACATACAAAAGATATGAAAATCAGTTGCAGAATGCATAGCTTGAAATTTTCATTTTCAGTGTTCAACTAAATTTGATTTTACAATTAAACATTTAGGTTGTAGGAAAAATTCAACCATTAATCATATTAACACAGTTAATTGACGGCTCTATTTTATATGCATTATTTTATATTCAATAATATTTATGTAGATCAATATGCATTCTTTCATGATATTTTGACTTTTGATAATTAAATATTTACTTAGTATACTTAAAATACTTATAAATTTTTATAGTTGTAACAGATCGGTAAATACTGCATAAAATTAATATAAAATTAATTTGATATGGATTTCTTGTCAAAATAGTTATTTATGTTAATCAATTTATATAAATACTAAATGCTATACCTCAATGCTTAAAATGCTTAAAATGATATTTAAAATAATGAAGTGCAAATTAAAAATAGGCAGGTGACACTTAAAAAATTATACGTTGTGGTGTTTTATGAGACATTGAGAAATAATTTTGATGTGTCATAGGGCGTAAAGTACTTTATAAAAGTATATAAAAATATATCTTAACAAATACCAAATAGAACAATAAGGTATTGAACACATTTAAATATAAAATTTGAATCATGCACATATGCATTGGTATGATGTTTGTTACCAATGTTAAATGTGTTTGATTGCTTAACATTGTTCTGTTTGGTATTTGTTAAGATATATCTGATAATACTCATTAGAAACAGGCAAAAACATTTGTATCATTAAATAATTTTATTCCTTTTACTGGTTTTGGGTATATGTGTGTGTGTTTTTATTACTCAATACATACAATCAATTTTTGAAGAAGTAAATAATATTNTGAAATTTTAATATTTTTTAGGGTTTTCTTCTTCATATGAATCTTGCTGTTAGACCTCCTGTAATGTATAATAAATTGCAGCAAGATTCAGCGCAAACAATTATTCAACGTCTTCGAGAGCAAAATCAAATGCTAACAGAAGTAAGTTTTAGTTATAAATTTCATTCTTGTCATTATCTATATTTATTTTTAAATAGTTTAAAAGTAAGAAAAATGTAGTAACTCTAAAACTTTGTATGAATTTTTTTTTCCTATTATATTATATTCATAATAATTCTGTTTATAAAGTAATACATTATCAAGATTTGATCAAATTTGTTGTTTAATATCAGAAATTTGTAAGATAAAAATAGTAAATAACTAATTATTTTTATTCAAGTGATACTGCATGAGTTGTATTAGCTGATTTAATTAACATTTATGTTAATTAAATCAGCTAATACAACTCATGAAGTATCACTTGAAATCCAAAATTATTAAAGAAAGTTCAAAAGAAGTTTACTTAAATTCAAAAAGAAAAATTTGGTTTTAATACAGTATAGTGTATATATTTAGATGTTCTACTGTATGTATAAACATAAAAGTAATAGTTAGGAGAATTAGCTATTATCACATTTGAGAAATATGGTGATATATTAATTTTGAATGATCTAATTTTATATGAAATAATTGCAGTAATTATGGGGAAATAAGGACTTTTTTATTAATTATTAACTCAACACTATCTCAGATACATAATTATTATTTTGTTGTAGTATGTTACATTAAATAATTAGTATATTCTATTTAATTAATAATAATAGCAGTATAAATATACAAAAATAATAGAGCTAAAACTTGCCTAAAAGTAATATTTATTTCATAATCAATGTTAAACATAAAAATTACTTGAATTGTTTGTAATATTATTTATCTAAATCAATCCACATAAATAATTTTACTAATTTATTGAAAGTGTTTTAAAGGCATGTTTAAATTTTATTACAGTACTAGTACAGTAGAGCATCGATTATCCGACTCAATTGGGGACTGGGGTTGGTCGGATAACTGAAAAACATGAAAAAATACATTATTAGTATAGTATATTAGTATATCTCATGTAATTAGTATATAAGTATATCGCTATTAACCTACTTTACATTGAATTTTCATCAATGTTAAGCCTAACAAAAATTTTTTAAAAATAATAATTGTCGCTATTGTATCATTAAAAATTAGAAAATTAAGCCTCATTTAAATACTGGCTCCTTTTCATGGTCGAGCTAGTGTTCCCAGCTAAAACACGTAAAAGTACTATTAAAGTAGCCAAGACATAGCCAAATATTGTAGCACCACATCACTAGCGGACATATGAATTTGCCGACTAGAACGGTTGGTTAACTGATGTGACGGTTAATCGATGCTCTACTGTATTTTATTTTGTATTAGGACTTTTGAATGATTAAACATTAATCATGATCAATCTTATAATTAAAAAATTAATCTTGAGTCAGTCTTGTTTTTAATCTTAAATTTCAATTTACAAATAATCCTGGTATACAAAGAAAACTAAGCACTAAATAGAAATTTCATTAGAAACTTTAAACGTACTTTTTATCAAGCACAAATCCAATGAGATAGACAGTCTTTCACATGACACAATACTTGTGGAAATTTTTTTAACATAAGCCATTCAACAGTTGGATGAAATATGCCATCTGTGAATTTAGTGAATAAGCTTGCTGCTCAACATTAGGCTCAGATTTATAATATTCAGTTGCAATTTGCACATTAAATTCTGCTGCTTCAAGCTTATTAAATGAAAATCAAAAATAAATTTGATTTTTTTTTTCTTAGAATATCATTATGTATAAGGTAACTATTTGAATTTGAGCAGGTTAAATGCTTAAGTTTATTTTCAATAGTTGACTGCATATTTCTCTTGATTTTGTAACCATTTTTCTTGTTGTTATTCATGACAGTTTAAAATATAAAGAATAAAAAAAATATAATAAAAATGATCTCTTCATATTTATGTTGTGTTTCAAGTTAAAATATCAATCACTTTTTGATAGTGATGTATACTGTACAATAATGACAGTATGAATGATTAGTTGTGTAAGAGAAGCCAAAAATCAAAAATATAAGTACAGTACATATTTGACATTATTATTATTAACAGTACATACAAAAGATATGAAAATCAGTTGCAGAATGCATAGCTTGAAATTTTCATTTTCAGTGTTCAACTAAATTTGATTTTACAATTAAACATTTAGGTTGTAGGAAAAATTCAACCATTAATCATATTAACACAGTTAATTGACGGCTCTATTTTATATGCATTATTTTATATTCAATAATATTTATGTAGATCAATATGCATTCTTTCATGATATTTTGACTTTTGATAATTAAATATTTACTTATAATGATAGTGGATTCTCTAAAATATTAAATTATATACCTGTTTTTATTTTATTATTAGGAAGTTGGAAAGAAAAGTGAGTTGATAACACAATTAGAAAGAGAAAAATGTTTGTTAATTCGGGAATTGTTTCAAGCACGTTCGCAATATCACAGAGATCCTGAAGATATCACATTGATGTAGTAAATAATAAGTATTAACATCCATTTTATAGTAGCTAAATTGATGTATTGATAAGAAAAATTAATCATAATTGTTAAATTTATATTTATTAAGTTATTTTTACAATGATGATAGTGATACATTAAAAATGTATATAATTTGATACAATGTAATGAAAGTTTTAATTACTTTATATTTTTATAATGAAAATAGTTAATATTTTTAGCAAAAATATCAATCGTTATCCAATCACTTTGAATAACCTTTAAAAATGGTTAATGTTACTGATATAGGGACTTAAAATAGTGTAATATAAGCATTAACTCCCACTTTAAAGAATTTTTAATATGTATTTTGATAGTTTTTTGTAAATTATCCAACTTCTGATTTAACAATAAACATTTTCTAACTGCATCTATTGTTTAAAATAATATAAATATTATATAATATATGTTTAGATGTACAGTAGAGTCCTGATTGTCCATCCTTTCATGTTATATAGTTACAAATAATTATTTTTATTTTTTGTTAAGAATGTTTTTCAAATATAAAAAATTTTAAAGTAATTTTTTTTAATAAAATAATTGAACGTGCATTAATTGATCATAAGTCTAAATTGTTAGATTTTCAGGCTATATTCAAATTCAGGCTTAATTAAATTATAGAATTTGGTCTAACCACCTATCTTTAGGCTAAATTCTATAATTTAATTAAAATAGGCATAAATATAGTCCAAATATTCAGTAATTTTGATTTACAGGTTAGCAAATATTTTAAGAATTAACTGTATTTAAAATTAGTTTCTTTATTATAAATCTTTAACTTTTTAAAAATTTAATAACTAATTTAATTCTATATTGCCTTAGGCTTTATTTTAAAAACATTGAGATAAAAAAATACTATCTAAAGCTGAAAGTGAATGAATGAAAGCCTTTATTTCATTATTTGAGTCCAAATAAAGCTTACATATTACATAGAATGTATATTGCCCAGATTTTTTTTTATCTGGTCCACTACTGTTCCCATTTTGACCAGATAATCAAGATTCTACTATATTATAATAAAAACGTTTTATGCATTTTAATATAACAAGTTTTACTAGAATATAGCATAGTGGAAGCATTGCTGTTTATATAGAATAGAGGAATGTTTGCAATACAGTGAATAAATTAAGCATTTAAATTTTATTGATCAAATTATGGTGCATGCTCACTAATCCAAACTAATTATTGTATATCAGTTGTCCAGATTATTGAAATTTTCAGGTTTGTTGGGTTAAATATATAAAGGAAAAAGTAAAAAATGAAACAAAAAGTAACAAAATATACTGTTTAAAGGTAAAACATGTTTTAATTTTCAACTTATAAGTGTTGTGTTGAGATATTAGTCTCAACAGAGCATTTACGTTTACCATTAGGAAATGGTTTTTATTTTTTTAAAATCTATTGTTTCATTAATTAAAAACTATAAATCTAATAAAAACATAAGTATAATTTTTTTTAAGAAATTTCTATTATTCTACTTAACATATGATACTGCATATTTTACTGTTATTAATTTACTCATAATTAAACATAATTCAGAATGATAAATGATTTACCATTAGCTTGGTACATATACTAAAAATAAGCAAACAAAATTGGTTCAGATGAAGTAGAAATCAGTTTGCACAGTTTGTATTAGAGAAAGTGCATTATGCTTATAGAATAGAATATAGAAAATAAAATGTATAAAAATTTATTTTGTCAATATATATGATAGTAAAGAATACTGAAGTTATCAGATTATTAATTTAAAAAAAGTGAAATCAGAAGTTGGAGAATCCTATCAACAATGTGTAACAAAATTTACTTAAAATTAATTCATATTTAGTGCCAAATTCATCAAATTTTGCAATGAAGTAAAAAGTTCTTGTTGTTTCCTAATTCCATGAAATGTTTTGAAAAATTAACAGTGTAAATAATCTGTTTATATATATAAACTGATAAATTAATATTACCTGAATATTTTTAAAATGTGTATGAGATTTAATGTTTTTATCAGATATTTTTAGAATGAAATATAGAAAATAGTATTATAAATTTAAAATTATTTGATATTAAACCCTTGTGATTATGTTGTTAATATTTACTAGTATTTTACTGACAATTTCATAATAAAATGGATATTTATTATTATATAAAACTTTCCAAAAATTATCTTACTGTAGAGTGATGAAAAAATGCTCAGTGATATACCTAATATGTAATAAACAACGAATTTTAAAATTTTATTAAGCAGTGAATTTACAGATTGGTTTTCAAATAATAAGATTTTATATGTGATTATTATGCTTGCTTTCAATAACAACTGTGATTTTAAATTGACCAATAATAAATTTAACTTTTTTATAAACTTTATATACACTATATATAAGAAAACACTAGACACATCTTACACACTTTTCTAGCATCAAAATTGAATCAAAACCAATGTTTTCAGTTTGATAAGTGTACAGAATGGAATTTAAATAGAGATTTTATTTTGGAATAAAATATTCTTTGATGCAATTATGTCTTTTGAAATCCTAACAGGTTTTGTTTTCCAAAGTTATAACATAAAAAATACAATTAAAATTAAAAATAAATAAAATGTAATTACAAATGAAAATAAAATATCCCTATTGGTTATGTAGATGCTGTTGTTTTTACAACGTGTTTTGTCGATGTTGTCCCTTTGCATGGTTGTGAAATAAAGATTGCCACACAAAGGACATCATCACAAGTCTCTATTTTTAATGCTGTTAATGCATTGTTTTTTAAATGCAGATTTTAATTAGAGATTAAAATCTCTAATCCTTTGCCATACATAATTTGATTTATGTATATAAAGCTAAATAAAAAATTTTTTTTTCATACAAAATTATTCTGGTATAGAAAATTTGTATAACGTGTATTGATCAAGAAACATCACATTAAAAGAAATAAGTTTTTCAGCTACTTTCTTTACAATTACTTTTATAGGTGTTTTCTGTAACTTACTCTGTTACAAAGAATTTTGTTAATAATAAGGGATTAAAAATTTAAAGTTAATTAAGATATTGGCATTAATAATTACTTGAAATTATTCAAATCTCACAAATGATAACTATTAAATTATTTGTAGCCAGTTAGAAGGCAACTATATGAAAATATGGTGATAACACCAACTGATCACATATGAGGAGTAAAGAGCAGTAGACATAGGACCCATGATTAAGGGTTACTGCTGTTGAGTGAGTGAAAACAATAGTGTTTTCAAGAAGCTTGGCTGTAATTGAGCTTATCAAAAGAATGCACATACAGAACAACACCACAGACATAATGATTCTACAACAAGTGTGTTTTGGCCATTTGAACCCAAACATAAGAGTTGCTGATTATTTTGTAATAGACTGATTTCTAATAAATTTCTTCGAGTACAATTTGAATAAGTGTAAAAATGTTTTATCTTTTCTCATTAATTTTTTAGTTATTAATTTAATTAATTCATGGTGTAAAAAATAACTTAGAGATGACTACATTAATAAGCAAAATAATAATCAAAGAAAATAGTGAAAAAAGATAAAATAATTTTACATTTGTTGACATAGTATTTAATAAAAAATTAAAAAAAAATAATAAGAAATTACTTTATGACAGCAGTCAACAGTTAACTTCTCTGTTCATGATCAATTGGTTAACATTTTTTGGTAGGTATAATTATGGCCACAAATTTTTAACTTTATTCTTTTTGCTAATACTTTTCACTTTTTTATTTTAGGTATTTTTAAATCTTTTATATGATGCTTTTGTTTTCTTTTAATGCTTATTTGTTTAGACATTTTAATGATTAAAGACAAAACACTTTCTTCATAAGTCAGAAAGTATTTTGTCTGTGATCAAAGTTCAAAGCAACCTCATGATCATTAAACATGACTTTTTGCAGATATGTACAACTTGGCAACTCCAATGTCACGATGAAGCCAGAAATTTCACCTATGGGCTGAGATATTCCAGGTCATATTTTTCCATGTAAACTGTATGGACAGGTTGCCAGTTGTAAGCTCATTGCACTCTACATTTCAATCGAGTTTATGATTGCTGTTAATTTANAAACATAAAAATTACTTGAATTGTTTGTAATATTATTTATCTAAATCAATCCACATAAATAAGTTTACTAATTTATTGAAAGTGTTTTAAAGGCATGTTTAAATTTTATTACAGTACTAGTACAGTAGAGCATCGATTATCCGACTCAATTGGGGACTGGGGTTGGTCGGATAACTGAAAAACATGAAAAAATACATTATTAGTATAGTATATTAGTATATCTCATGTAATTAGTATATAAGTATATCGCTATTAACCTACTTTACGTTGAATTTTCATCAATGTTAAGCCTAACAAAAATTTTTTAAAAATAATAATTGTCGCTATTGTATCATTAAAAATTAGAAAATTAAGCCTCATTTAAATACTGGCTCCTTTTCATGGTCGAGCTAGTGTTCCCAGCTAAAACACGTAAAAGTACTATTAAAGTAGCCAAGACATAGCCAAATATTGTAGCACCACATCACTAGTGGACATATGAATTTGCCGACTAGAATGGTTGGTTAACTGATGTGACGGTTAATCGATGCTCTACTGTATTTTATTTTGTATTAGGACTTTTGAATGATTAAACATTAATCATGATCAATCTTATAATTAAAAAATTAATCTTGAGTCAGTCTTGTTTTTAATCTTAAATTTCAATTTACAAATAATCCTGGTATACAAAGAAAACTAAGCACTAAATAGAAATTTCATTAGAAACTTTAAACGTACTTTTTATCAAGCACAAATCCAATGAGATAGACAGTCTTTCACATGACACAATACTTGTGGAAATTTTTTTAACATAAGCCATTCAACAGTTGGATGAAATATGCCATCTGTGAATTTAGTGAATAAGCTTGCTGCTCAACATTAGGCTCAGATTTATAATATTCAGTTGCAATTTGCACATTAAATTCTGCTGCTTCAAGCTTATTAAATGAAAATCAAAAATAAATTTGATTTTTTTTTTCTTAGAATATCATTATGTATAAGGTAACTATTTGAATTTGAGCAGGTTAAATGCTTAAGTTTATTTTCAATAGTTGACTGCATATTTCTCTTGATTTTGTAACCATTTTTCTTGTTGTTATTCATGACAGTTTAAAATATAAAGAATAAAAAAAATATAATAAAAATGATCTCTTCATATTTATGTTGTGTTTCAAGTTAAAATATCAATCACTTTTTGATAGTGATGTATACTGTACAATAATGACAGTATGAATGATTAGTTGTGTAAGAGAAGCCAAAAATCAAAAATATAAGTACAGTACATATTTGACATTA